AGCGCCAAAAGATGCTCAAGGACAAGATTGGCGAGGCCGCCGAGGCGCTGGACAAGGCCAACAACGCCCTCAGCGGGTTCAAGACGCTGGCCATCTCCGAGGAGGTGGCGATCCAACGACGTCTAGGTGCTCTGCGGGAAGAAGTCGGGTTTGTTAGCAGGAGGGAGCGCGAGGCGCAGGAGCTGTATCGCAAGACCAAGGATGAGCTTGATGCGTTGAGGGTTAATGGGATGAATGGACACTACTAAAGGGGGGAAGTGGGCGGGATGTGCGTGTATTTATAACGGGCGATGAGAACGGCACGGCAAGGCAAGGCTTAGAGCCTGGATTTCAGGCAAAAATTGAAGCTTGTATGATGTGGGATCTCGAAAATGCTTCCGCTAGCATGCTGAAGTATCTATGCAACAAAATGCTACACAAGATGATGTGACGACAACTCTTTCTCCAATTTACTGATTACCAGTGGATGATAGCCTCAAACCTTTACCGGCTTGTCTTTCTCGCCCCCAGTCTGGGCAACTTGATCGGGATGAGCAGAGCCACCGAAACAAAAGCAATCACCGTACAACACAAGAACGTCGTCCGCAAAGCCGCCTCGTAACTCATAACGACCTGCTCGCGGTACGCAGCCGGCAACTTCACAATCGATTCGACGCTCTCCCTCACCTTACGAATCACCTCGTCCTTGTCCGGGCCCTGGACATACTCATCCAAGTACCCGACAAGCGCATTCTGCACAACGAGACTACTGCTCGCCACGCCCAACACCATGCCCAACGAGCGCCAGAGGATCAAGGTACTCGTGACAACAGCTTGCTCGCGCTGGTCGCTGGCCGCCAAAACAGCCATGAAGGTCCCCGGGAACTGGAACCCTTGGCCGATGGAGGAAGGGACGAGGCAGAGGAGGTAGACCCAGGAGGGCCAGCCGCGGCGCATGGTGGAGAGGGCGATTGTGCCGAGGAGAAGGCCTACTGCGCCGGTGAGGGCGGGCCATTTGAGGCGGCGGGTGTAGGTTATCAGGAAGCCTGTTGCTGTGCCGACGATGGAGGAGACGATGGAGGGGAGGACGAGGTTGAGGCCCGACGAGGTTGCTGTTGTGAGGAGGACGGCTTGGAAGAAGAGGGGGCTGGTTGTGGGCATGGTTAGATCTTGATTGTTCCTTCTTGTGGGGGTGTTTTTCTTTCTTTGGGGGTGTTTGGAAGTATCGTAGGATGAGTATGAACTTACATGTTGAAGAGGATTGCGTTGCTGAGGAGAGCAGCGAAGAAGTTTGAAAAGATGAGGTTCATTCGGGGCGAGCGGCGGACGAGGTAGAGAGGCATGATGGGGCGGTTGGCGAAGGATTGGACGTAGAGGAAGACGGGGAAGCAGACGCCAAAGATGACGAGAGATGCGATTACGAGGGGATGGGACCCTTGAAATGTTTGTTAGCTCGCTGTTCCGAGACATGGAAGCATATTAAATGTGAGTGATTTGAGGGCCACTTACAAGGCAGAACATTTCCTCCGAGGTTCTACAACATTGCAAAAAGAAGACGTTAGCTTCACAAATTTCAAGAAGCAGAAAGGGCTATTTTGTAGTGTAGATTCCTCCATGTCATTCCAGGAGGGGAGAAGAAAACTTACAAGACCGAGGACGAAGAAGGTGATGGCCGTGGTCAGGAGGATGGAGCCCTTGAAATCAAAAGCCTTGAGGGCCTCGATGAAGCTCTCCCGCTTGGTACCGGCCATGCCCAGGTCGCTGGGGACGGCGATCATGGCGATGATGCAGCAGATGATGAGGGGCGGGACCTGGATGCCGAATTCCCAGCGCCAGCCAAGGTGGTCGGCCATGGCACCGCCCAGGGCCGCGCCGAGGGCGGAGCCGACGCCGTAGATCATGTTGATGTAGGATTGGTATGCGCCGCGGTTCCTGTGTCTCACTATCAGTATTTCAAACCTCTTCTCACAGTGACTCTCTCTTTCCATTGCGTGTCAAGGTAGAACATCCATGTGCCATCCTACAAAGCGCGCAAGAAGAATATTGCGGAGTTGGAAATACTCACTCAATGGGAACCAAATCGCTAACAATGATACTACCCAAAGTCATCATGCCGCCGGCGCCAAGTCCACACGCCGCGCGAGCAAGGATGAAGCTCGTCATGCTCTGCGCGAGCGCGCACCACACCGTCGCGAGGCAAAAGATGACCATGGTGGCGACGTACGGCGGCTTCCGGCCGACGCTGTCCGACAACCGGCCCAAAATCGGCTGAAACGCCGAAGACGTCAACAAGAACGCCGTGGACAGCCACGAGGCGCTGTTGGAGGCCTTGAAGTAGGACGTGATGACGGGGTGGGAGGAGGCCATGATTGTGCCGTCGAAGCAGGCGATGAAGTAGGTGAGGAGGATCTCTGAGAAGATGAACCAGAAGCGGGAGCGGGAGATGCCGTTTAAGAAGGGGGTCGAGGCGACGCTGCTGCTGATGGAGACGGCATCGTCGTCGTGGTCGTCGTCACCTACAGCGGCGATGCCTCCGGCCTCGGAGGCGCGGTCGGAGCGGCTTGCGAGCGAGGGCCGGCGGTGTTTGGAGGCCGTGCTGTAGCGCCGGGGACCACGGAGGAGGGGGTTCACGGTCGACTCGGGCTCGAGGAAGGGGCCCGTGGAGGGGATGGACCTGGAGAGTAAGAGGTCGAATTCGTTTGGTGGGATGGCATTTTCGTCTTGCGGGGTGATGGGGAGAGGGGTCGTAGGCTCGTCGACCTGGAGAAGAGGCGTGCGCTCGGTGGAGTGCTGGCCGTTTGACGCTGCCGCCGACGACGCCGGGTTCGGTTTCCGGGAAGCCATTGTGAGAAATGGGTTTTACGGAAGATTTGACTAGGGTGGCATTCAAAAATTTCACGATGGGACCGGGCGGGAGATCTGCCTTCATGAATCAGTCCTTGCATGGTTCTTAGGAGGTATGATGAGGCCAGGGGTTGAAAAAGCTTACTCGAGAGATCTAGATCTCGAGATTTGAGATAGAGTATTGCAGATGGACCGCGCGCAGGGAAGTAAAAAATAAAAATAACAATCTAACGACCTTTGTCCCCTTCGCTGGTAACAATCGCTGTTCAGTCTCAAAAGATTGCGGTTCAGGAAACACAACTCGATGGCATGGGTGACGCACACCAAGCGAATGTCACGAGTCAAGAACGGTGGGATGAGTGAGGTGAAGGAGAGAAGTAGACTGGACACCGAGAAAGAGAAAAGGCGAATCCAAGGTAAGAAAGGCAGGAAAGAGAAATTCAGTATTTAGATGGATGGGACGCGAGCGCGAGGAAAGCACGCCTTTTTCTGCCACCCTTGCCCCGGGAAGCCGTTGACTCAATAAATCGGTGTACGGAGTACTTTTGTACCTTTTTTTTTTTTTTTCACTTTTGGGATCCGCCGTTTCCTTGTTCCCCCAAAGGAACCTTCACAATATCATAATGTTGGTAGCAAGCAGCATGCAGAAAGGACTCTAAGAGTACATGGCGTCGCGGCATTGCTCCCGCCTACCGCTTACCGCCGGTGACGGCCCCGGCCTTTGCACGCTGGCAAGTCCCAAGTTTGCCGGACCTGGTGACTCTTTTCAACTGTCAGCGCCGGCGTTGGCCCTCCTACAGTCTTACTGCCTTTTCAGCCCAGCTTGAACCCCGCCTCCCCTCCATCCGCATCACGCTCAACTCTCACTCGGATACCCTGCCATGTACATCAAGGGCGCCATACTGAGGATGTCTTTTATCCCGAGTTCCCCTCCAACTTCCCTCCGCCGTTGCCATACCAAGGGCCTCAAAATTTGTTCATTGTCCAATCACGCAATAGCGGGTATGCAAAGGCGGCAGAAGCGTACAGCGCGGACTCAAGCCGACATGTGCCCGCTTAGCTTACCTTGTTAGCATGCGCGAACACCGCTGCCCTAGCGAAGGGAGAGGGGAGAGAGGAGATATTGCCCACTTCCCCAGCTGGGTGTCTTGCTTTTCCCGCTGCAGACTTGCCAGAGCGGCGTTTTTGCAGTGGGCCGAAGGATTTGATCCCAGAGTGGGGGGTTCCGTCCATCCCGGCCAGCGGGGGGGGGGGGGGGGGGGGTTCCCGTTCCCGTGCCGGATATCGGAGCCGACCCGATGTGGTACGGGCTCACATTTGGCGTATTGCGTATCCGTACCTATTGCCCAAGACCCGACTGATACTTCTCCTGGCCCGATCTGGGCAACACTTGGGTTACGGTTCCTTTCATCATTGAATACCATCGCAATTTCCATCGTCCATGGTCTTGGCCCTGTGCGCAGGTAATCTCGAGCATTTAATACCGGCAATGGGAACCTGCCGAGATGCTGTCGTACATGTGCCACCGCCTCGCCTTTTGGTGTAACCTCACCTCCCGCAGAACGTTTCTATTCATTTCGGTCCTCCAGATTATTCGGCTGTGTACAGAGAGCCACCGAGATCGATCTCGCACAGATCCTTGTGTATCCCCGGCGAGAGTGTAAATCACTCGGAGCATTTCTAGGCAGCTCTCTGCAGGCTGCTAGTAACCGGTCTAATGTGCCACAAAGAGATTGTGTATGCTATATGCTGCCGACAGAACCACCGATTCCTGCCTCGCCTCCATCATGTCTGATTTCGACTGTCTCGTCCCCTTGGGCAAGGGGTGGGTATGAGCCTCGAAGCCGAAGCCGACGATTTGATCAGGGGAGCCGAAGCCGAATCTTCGGTGCCATGATCAAATTTCGTATTCTCATACAAGCCAGTAATCTCTAAGTCCCTAAAATCAGGATAGTACCCCAGGTTTCTCATTCTTAAACGGCTGAATGCATGCATGCAATATTTGACCTCGTTTAGGTATTTGGCCGCTTCTCTGGTGGGTGGGCAACACGGCGTTTAGATTGCATGAGACTCTGAATTAGACCGAAGATCGAATGCAGTCTGAGATGAGGTGCTCAACGCTGTTCGACGTACTTTGACCCTTCGACATCTTTCGATATACTCATTCCACGGTGTATCTAGTGCGATTCTTGAAGTCCCATCTCAAAATCGTAATTATATATCGAAACAGGATAGTCCGAGACTGACCCAATCTTGTTGATTAGCTTCATGTTGAGCATTTCCAAGAACAGTCTGTCGTTAGCTTCTCCATCGTAGTCGTCTGTCCATATAGAATTGTAGTTCTCCCATGGCCTGTTGTTGTGCTCGTAACGCGGATGGTTGGAAAAGTAGCTGAGTTGCTCTGCGCGAAAGATCTCAAGATCAGGGCAGTTCGTCCTCAGATGCGCAAATACGTCTTCCCAGTTACCCCCGTCCCAATGAATCTTGACGTCGTCAAAGTTGACTCGGCGGATCGCTGAAGCTTGTGACGATGGCAGGATACCCGACAACAGTTGTAGAAGTGACGGTATGTTGGTCCATATCCGGCGAAGCGAGAGGTCGCGCAGATGTTTGGTACCGAATTGGGAATTCCCCCACTGCTGAATATCCATGTTGAGATAATGCGTCGCCTCGATGCCAAGTGCCTCAAGGTTGGGGCAAGATGCCACCAAGGCCCAGAGTGCGTCCTGATGTTCTCTGTTCGGATAGGTTGCCTGCACATTACTCGGCGCAACTGATCCCAGAATGGTCGTTCGATCCCCGTCGTTATTTTCCTCCTCTATCTTGGTGTATTGCGCGCTTCCGCTTGGTCCAGTTTCGTCGACGATGACCAAACGTAGCTTCCTAAGGCGATCCCGGGCATCCTGAGACAGGGTGCCAGCCAATTGTCCAATATGCCACGTTGAAGGCACCGCAAAGCTGAGGTCCACCAAATGTTGGAATCCCGGACTGGCCAAACCGTGTTTTGCTGTTGCCAAAACCTCATCCACGCCTTGCGTGTCGTAACAGTTTGCCATGAGATCATGTTTGCTGTAGGCCGCAGGGAAATCAATGCTAAAGCGCTCTATGCGTTTGACAGTGTCAAAAAAGCGTCGAAGAAGCGCGTGTTCATTGTTCTTCCCGTAATGGAGCTCATGTCTAGAGCGTTTCGGGTCCGACGTCCACCAATCTGTTGTCCTAAGTTTGTCGACATAGGAGTTTAAGATGATGTAGTCATCATCCACATCCTGACCTTCGAACCTGCATCAGTCTTGGGTCAGTCGTCCTTTCTTGTACAGGCAGTAATCTGAAGCAAGCTTGCTGGCGTTCTGCAAAATCGAGGAGTGCTTGAGACATGGTAGTGGACAAGTAATTCTTACATCTCAAAGTCGTACGAGTAGAGCCGCGAAAAAGTACGTAGTCCATCGAGGTCGTTGAGGCTGAGATTCCTGATCCAACTACATGGACCACCATCGGGCCCGCCACAGACTAGTAGAAGTTTTGCAAGACGATTTCGATCATCAAAGGGTACACTCCACCATTGGTGCTTCTGCAGCATTCTGGTGACGGAAGAGTTCCATTGGCGCGAGACCAAGCGCAAGTTCCAAAAGCCGTCTTCGATGGGTGGCAATTCGTCCCGGTTGAACTTCATCGACAAGCCAGAACCGTGGCGTGTATTGGCAGGAAGCCGCGCAGAGTGTGATGTGAAAAAATTCCAGTCGTCTAGAGAATAGACGCCCCGGACCTTTGCCAATGGCTGGTAGACCACCAATCCATCGAGTATCTATCGCAGGCGAAGAATTAGCGGACTGCACACAGCCGTGAGCGGTAACAACGAACCTGATCAAGGATCTCAGAAGGGAGTTCCATGTTGACCGAAATGAATTGTGACTAGTTCACTGAAATGCGGGACATCGATTACGAATTCCACACCTTACGTGGTCGGGTGAGGTGTCGAGTTGTAGTTGCTGTGCTTTTGGTGAGGTAGGCAGCAGCAGGGGCGGGCAGCCATCAGAGGTCGGGCTTAGCGCAAAATACACGAAGAAGCCGCTGTGGGATTAGTCAGACGCCCAATACCCGGAGCACCTGCCCTCGACTATTTTCCACGGGCAACTACCTTAGGTACACAACATCGTTCTCCCCTACTTCATAATCTCTTCCTTCCGAATACTATTGCGGCAACCTCGTGAATTAGTTACTGCAAACTTTCTGACGTGCTTGATAACTGGCTCTTCGCATCTGCTCAGGGAGGAAGTAACGTTGCTTGGGCTGGGTGGAAATCTGTAGAGTCTAAGTGGACACACTTCCTGGTCCATACTCAAGTATAAATACCGGGTGACTGAAAGACTACTCCCAATATGACCCAATATGAGCTTGGAGAATGTTTAGTGGACGAAGGTTTCAAGAGAATCTTGTATTCGTACCTCGATTACTCGTGACTACTACACATTGCCATCGGTGCAACAGAACCTCCGACTAATCAAAACCTCGAATCATGCTCAACGCTAATCAACGATCAAAGAGCCTCTCAATCTCGTGATTTTCACCTATTTGCATTGAAAACACTGACTGGGTGAGAACTTCTGACTCACGAGCTTACAAGGTCACTGAAAACACTTCTTACGAATAGTGGCCATCACACACGAAGGTAGGGCGTGGCAACTAGGCAAGGAGGAATAGAGTAAAATGCAATATCAAAAGTGGCATCAGACTAAGGTTGAAGCGAGACGATGGCATTTTCAGCATGTAAAATAACGTTATATGTAGGTAATGGAAATCTTCGGTGCCGGACTATCAAGCTATTTATACCCTATGTCTTTTCTTCTGTTACTATGAAATCTCACTCAACTTGTGACAGTAGTTCTCATTTATTTATCCTTTAACACATTTTACTTATTTCAATCCAGGACTAAGTTTACCGTCATCGCCCTCTTGCTTTGATGTAGGCTAATTTCTGCTGAAAATGCCGGGGTCATCTGTAAAGAATTTCTTAGGGAATGGGGAGTGCGTTTACTATCGAAGATCTCCGTTGAATGCCGATAGAAACTGTAAATTATTCACAGAAAGGCAACTGCAACGGCGATGACACCTGGACGTGTGGTCAGAGTTGTGGCCAGGTCGGTTTCTACGCTCCGACCGACAAGTCGTCTCCTCCGAAATCATTTTCAGTTTTTCCACTTAAAATTTTCAGGCGTTCAACCGATAACAGATGCGGTTGTTATTGCTACTGGGCACGAATTGTTGTGAAACGGTTCAGTCATAATTCGCTGATGGCTAAAATCCCTTTCTCAACATCAACAGATAATTGTTATATAACGCGAGCAACTCTAGGAAAAAAACGCTAATAGCTTCTGATAGTGACTGTAAATTTGGGATTAAATCCATGCCCTTCAGTCCGCTACTCTCTCAACCTCTTGCAGTTCAAATATGCCTGTCGTGTCATTGAAATTCACACTCTCCGAAGAACGAACATTCACTCATCAAAACTTCCCTTAGAGAATTGTGAAAATTCTCCTCAAAAGACTAATATTAGAACGCAAGCATGGTCATAGGACTTCAAGCTGGAGGACATCATGTGGTTGCCTTAGGTACACCCGTGCAGACGATCACCGGTAGGAGACATCCGGCAAGAAGTATCCACTTTAACAGGGTCATGCGCTTAGTCAGCATATCGAGAATCTGCGAACCGATCTCAACCGATGCCAAGTTTTGCCGTCTTGAATCTCATACTGGTTATCTCACCTGTAGGAGACGATGAAAATCAGTATACAATGACACGACGTCTCGATGACGGCACAACCACATACGACCCGCTTACAGGCGTCCTCCCCGTCCTCCCGCCCGATGCACAGCTTCCGGACAAGAACCCGCGCAGCAACGCCGCAACCGCAGCATCGGCCGCCGGCGTGCGCGCCTTGAGCGCCCAGGCCATCGCCTTCTACTTCCGCGCTCCCGTCAAGGCCTTCTTCCGCACCCGCGTCGACTACCTCGCCTACGCGCGCAGCGTGCACCAGGCCCAGATCGAGCTGCTTGCCCAGGCCGCCGCGAAAGAGCCCTCGACCAAGCTGAAAGCGACGTTGAACCAGGCATGGTTCTATCTGCGGGGCACGACGCCGGGCGTGCTCACTTCGGCGGTGAAGCAGCATGGCTGGGGTGTGCTCCCGAATCAAGTCTTGCCGCCGCTCATCGCAAATGTCGGCGTCGGAGCTGTGCTATATACCAGCTACCTCACTATCCTTGGCAGCCTGCACGAGGAGAGCGGCAGAGCAACGAAGACAGTCTACCCACCACCACACCCGACGCAAACTTTCACCGCGGGACTTCTCGCCGGAAGCCTCCAGAGTTTCATCGCAGCACCGTTGGACGCCATCCAGGCACGGTATGATCACCGCGACCTCATGCCAACAGAGGGCGGGAAACCCAGGAGCATGTGGGCCTTTAGTGCTGAGAAGTTGAGGGAGATTGGTGTGCGTGGCATCTTTGCAGGATGGGGCTTGTCTCTTATGAAGGACAGTTTCGGCGCTGCTGTATTTTTCAGCGTTTTCGAATATGTCAAAGCCCAAGGATACTACCGTTTTGTTTCATGGTACTACGGCGGACTCGAAGAGCACATTGTCGACTTCATGGCCCAAAAACGACCGGTAAAGAATGGCAAACCAGAGGAAGACAACAAGCAGCCTCTTATAATCAGACCGCACTACGCCATAGAGCCTATCTTCTTGCTCTTGGGAGGACTCAGCGCATCCTTTGCCCAACAAGTTGTTCTTCACCCCTTGACTCACGTGCAAGTGGAGCACTGGGATCGCCTCGAAGAATTAGACGCCAAGGCAGCGAAACTGAAGGAGACCAAGGGAACCGATCCATCACAGCGAAGGGACGGGTGGAGGATGGCGAGAGCCTACTATCGGGCTTACAAAGAGACCTGGTCAGAATGCTGCGCAGAGGCCGCAAAGGAAGGACTGGGAGTGAGGAAATGGCTATGGCGCGGTTTCTGGTGGAACACCATCCGCCAAGTCCCCAGCACGAGCGCTGGGTTGATCATTTTTGAACTGGTACGACGGAAGTACGGTCTTGGCAGCGAAGAAGTTCGCATTATGGGAGACGGGTACGATATCTTACTAAACTAGAGCATTTGGCACGCGCGCGGGCGTTTTGAGGTCGGTGTTTGGGATTCTCGACTCCACTAGGCATTTGTACAAATTACATCAAAAGACTCTTTTTGACCATGGACCGCTGGTATTATACGGAGTCGCAGCTGTGGCTTGCATGTGGCATGCAACTCTGCAATGGCTGGCTGGTTTGTGGCACATTCGGGTAAGTATTTCCTGCAACTCCAACGCGCCGTGCTCTATCAGAGGAGTAAGCTTCCGCATTGGACGTAGAACCCGGGGAAGTGGAGAAGACATGTTCATTTGATAATCGCCATGACGTCGGGGCACCATGCGGCTCCCGAAACTTTCCCTAGCATTTCTCCCCTCTTTGTCTTCCTGGAGTTGTCTCATGGTACGTAAAACCACAATACTCAGATCCCGTCGATCAATCAACGAGATGGCCAATATCCCAGAATCAGACAATGTGGTGCGCGTCAAGCTTGTCGATACGACAACTGCCATGGTCGGCGTGGCCGAGTCCTTCGTTCAGCCAGTCGTCAAGGGGCACGAAGTCATCAACTTTTGCTCGCTAGCTTTCCTCCTTGAACATGAGAAACTCGGCAAAAAGGCGATGTTTGATCTCGGCGTCCGAAAAGACTACTGGAACTTACCCAAGGGTGCCCAACAAGGAGTGTTGGGACCGGATAGCGTCATCTTTGGCATGAGTGTACCAAAGGGTATTGATGAGGTCTTGACGGATGGAGGAGTAAACCCAAAGTCGATTGGTGAGAGTCTTTCTCTGTAAATTGGGTTCCGGGAACTTTCTCTCACAGAAGGCCATACACTAGATTACTGCATCTGGTCTCACGCCCACTTTGACCACCGCGGAGACGTATCCGTCTTTCCCAAATCAACAACGCTGGTCACGGGGCCTGGATACTTCTTGTCGAAGGGCAGACCCGGGGGTAGAGACGATCCACAAGCGGCAGCAGAGTTCGAAGGCCGGCCGCTCGAGGAGGCTAACTTCGACAAAGGCCTGATGGTGGGCAAGTTCAAAGCCCAAGACTTCTTTGGCGACGGTTCCTTCTACCTGCTTGAGGCTCCGGGCCACCAGCCAGAGCACATATGCGGTCTCGCCCGGACCACGCCGTCTTCGTCCCCCGAGGGAGCCACCTTTGTCTTCCTGGGCGGTGATATTTGCCATTTCGCGGGCGTCTTTCGGCCGTCTGAGGATACCCCGCTTCCGGATGGAATTCCCGCTTCGGCCATTGCATTGCGTAGAGATTGGGCGTCCAAGGCCGTGTGCCCATGCTCCCACTTTACTCCCCATCATCCCAACACGTCGGACGAGAAATTGGCTTCGACCACGCCCTGGTATGAGCTACCTCGCGGGGGAAAACATCCCGTCTACACAGACATCGACCTGGCTACTGAATCGGTTGCAAAGATGCGTGAGCTGGATATCAAGGACAATGTGATGGTCTGCATCGCGCACGACGCAAGTTTGCTTGATGTGTTGCCGGTCTTCAATAAGCAGCCAGAGAGGGACATTAATGACTGGAAGACAAAAGGATGGAAGGCGACAACCTACTGGAGTTGGTTGAACGAGGTGTCCGTGGACGGCAAAACACCACACGAACCGGTGGTGGAGGGCTTCTGGAGGGACGGCAAGAAGTGGGATTACGCGGGATACTTGGAGACTCTTAAGTGAGACTGCGCAATCTCATAGCTGACCGGAGCAACTGGCGTGGGAAAGAATGTTACTATGGTGTGATGAATAAATACGATGATACTATCTGATCGAGAAAAGAAGGTGAATAGACAAAGGAGAATTCCGGAACCCTGATAACAAAAAAAGGAGAGAGTTCCCCTGCTCGCACCAGCGAATGTATAGCCGCTCTGAATGCAAAATAGAAAAACCTCGCAACGATGAACTATCCCTTGGCTATTTGCTCTCTTTTGCCTTCTTTGCTTCAGAAGCGACGTATTCGAAAGCACTCATGTCAGGCTCGCATGTAGTTCCAATCTCAGGCATCTTGCCATTCTGGAAATATTCACGGACGATATTGTCCACGCAGCTCGAGGGATGGTTGGTATATCCATGCTAAAGGAAATTGCGGTTAGCTTCGATGTTGCGGGGCTAGTGTTTTGGAGAGCACTTACACCAACACCGTAGTGAATAACAGCCCGACTATTTCGGAACCGCGCAGAAATCTCCCACGCCGTGTTCTCAGGGGTAGCCGGGTCCCAATGACCATTGATGATGAGGGCCGGGAAGCTAGTCCTGACGTTTCTCAAGGCGTTGAGGTCAATCTTCTCCGCGGCATCGAATCGCCAGCGAGAGCAGAGGAGGCGCAGCCTGGCACTGGCTTCGCCGAAGGAGCTTCCCTCCCAATGGGTTCGGTAGATGGAATAAAAATCATCGACGTTCTCGGCACGGAAGGACGAGTCCGCGCAAGCAATGCCCCAGACGCCATAGGTGCCGCCTTCGTTCCATTTGGACAGTAGCGCATTGGCTGCTGGGATGAGGGCACCGGTCCAGTTCCCTGTCAAGGCCGCGTGGACTCTAGAGACGGCTTGAGGGTACTGCAGCGGCTTGTAGAGTTCTGTCAGCAGACCCATTTTGAAGAGGGACACGAGGTCGTCTAAGTTGTTGGCGGTGTCGTTCTTGTCGTTGATCTGCTCCTCGAGCACGGTCTCGAGTGCCTTCATCAGGCTGTCCCCCGTGGTGTCGGCGCCGGTAAAGTTGGCCAGTACGCAGGATGCGGGACCGGCCTTGACGCACTCGTCAAAGAGGTGGTGCAGGGCGCGCTCTGTGTCTCTTTGGCCCGTTTTCCAGGTAGTGTCTGCATAGTCGTCCGCGATGAGATTGCTGTCCAGGACGAGACGCCCTACGCGGTCGGGGAACATGGAGGCGAAGACTTGTCCGAGAACGGTGCCGTAGGAGACGCCCCAGTAGTTTACCTTGGGGCCTTGATCGAGGGCGTCGGCGATTGAAATCATATCTCTGGCTACGAACGGTGTGCCGACAAAGCGGCCGTACTTGGCATTATCTCTGAAGCAGGCGTCGGCTGTGACTTTGTAGCTTTCCCAGTCTGTTGTCTTGATGCTGTTCCAGATATCACCCTTGGGTAGCGTCTCAAAGTCACGTCGGGTGACGGAAGTCTGAGCCGCTGTTACGTTGCAGATGTATGGAATAGTTTTACCAGTGCCTCTGAGAACGTGTGAGAAACATGCGTGGTGAATACAGGTTTATGATATGATATGATGCTCACCTAGGATCGAATCCAACGATATCATAGTTGCCTCCGACGATACTATATTAATCACTGAATTAGCAAAATGGGAGCAAAGATGCCGAACATAACCTACTTTCGCAACTTGAGACCCAACTTGGCTACTGACTCGACGCCAGAACCGCCTGGTCCGCCTGGGTTCCATAGCATACTCCCCATGTGGGGTTCTTTGTTTGCGCTGGCCTTAATTAATTGGAGCTGGATGGTCTCGCCGGAGCTCAGACTGGTGTAATCCAGGGGAACCTCAAGTTTAGCGCACTGAAGCTTCTCCGGCAAAGCGTCCACCATAGCGTTGACAGCGTCCCCAAAATCCAAGTCGCATTTTGTCCACTGGATGAATGACTTGTTTGATGGCGCCGAAGAATTGTAGTCGTCTCTCCGGAGGGCGAGGTGAGCTTCAGTCGGTACTATCAGGGCACTGGCTGAGCCCAGCAGGAGACGGCCGATCAGGGTGTTATGCAATTTCATTATGGCCGATTCTGAGAGTTGAAATGGTTTGATGTGATGTGTGATAACTCTGGAAGTATTGTTCTCATCTATGGCACCGGCTTGCAGTCTTATATGTGCGATGAGGTGTGAGAAGGAGATTGTTGATGGTGAGGGGATCAGATTAATGACTATCAAATCGTGGAAATAAGCAAAAAGACATGAATTTCGAGGATCGAGGCTATGCGGCTGACCCGTCGACCGGTAAGCTTGATTCGTCAAATCATCGCAATATCTTATTCCATCATGTAGAAACTGGCGCCTTGGCAACGAAAAGCTGAGCCCGAGTGAGCCCACAGAGGACGTCCAAAGTCTCAATGAGGCAATTACGTTGCATGCGCAGTGAGCTTACATGCCGACCTAAAGTCGCTTTCAGCCCTGCTTGTCTTGAACTACAAGGGACAGCTTCGAGCCTCATTGGGAAGATAGGGTGTTAATGGGGATTGTCAGCAATCTTGGCAGCACCTACGTAATTGCTCTGCCAGGCTTTTACCCTTTTGGGAAAAAAGAAGTAGAGAGGTACAAAAACAATAAGCGAGACGCTTGCTAGCCGACTTGGCGGGGTTAATCCAGCACTCGATGATTAATATGAACTCAGAGGCAGACTAGTTTCCTCTGATTACATTTGGGAAAAAGCTTCGTGTCCAAGAATGCCATTGCCTTGAGGGCGTATCGTGACATGGTTGAAGAACTTTTTGTTTCATCTGATTATAAGACTCAAAGTTCTTGCCCCTTGCAATAGCCGTTTGTATCGGCATCGTGCTCTATCACCTCATATGATCGGAATGTCCGGCAGCAAGTCGAGTCAAGACACCCAAATTTGCTCACACTATCAGTTCGTTCAAGAATCAGTATTAGTCAATAACTCAACGGAACGCCAACTTAGATTAGTTGGAATATTCTTTGAATTCAAGGTACTGGGAATCCGTCAGTCAATTACTATGGCATTTCGCACCCTATTTCCATTGGCCGGAAAGAAGTCTTTGTCTCATCCCACCCGTCTTGGTTTGGCTCCGCTCGGTGTTGACTTAGTAGAGGTTATCTGGGGACTTTCACCAGGAGAGGTATCCTCTTCCATGTTTTCATCCTCATCATCACTGCTTCTGTCAGAGTCAAACTCAATCCCTTCTTCGTTGACCATATCGTCGTCCTCGGGATTGGGAACGTCCTCCATCATCTCCGCATCGGGATCTTCTCGAAGTTCATTTTGAGCATGCTGTTCAGAAGAGACGACTGGCAAGAGCTCTTTGGCATCTGGGTTTAGTCGATGATCTGACGAGCCCGATGACTGCCACAGCTTGAGGCGTTGGAGACTTCCGCTCAGAAGCCTGGAAACAGACTCCTTCATGTACATGCCATCAAGGGAAAAAAGCTCCAACACAGCCAGGATGAGAACCACCTTCCACCACATTGATGTCCAGAAGGAAGTCGGCCAGATGAAAACCATTGTGAGTGCCTCTGCTACAGCAGCCAAAAGCCAACGACTGGGGTAGATATGATTCCAGAGAACCCGGGTGTCGTTGACACAAAGTTCTAGTGAACTCGGCAATACACATGTTCGCCAGTGCCTGGCGAGCTCGCCATGGTCGAAATCTCGTTTAGCATCGTTGAACCGAACTCTATGCCGCAGTCTGTGTTCCCACATTGGCAACAGTCTGCCTTGAGAGTCCCACGGCTCCTGTATACAAAAGTCTCTCCATCTGCTCCAAACCTCCAAGGCAATTTCATCGCTCACGTCAAAGTATTCCCTGTGCTTCGTTCCGCAGCTGCAGGTCCATACTCGACGAAAGTTGGCCAACTCGGCGTGGACCAACTTCTCAGCAAAAGTATTCCAGGAGAATTCCGTTGTCGTCGCTTCATCATGTTCAAAGAACTCTTGGTGTTTGCACTGGTATTGAATGTCTTTACCACGCTTTTCTGGGAGGTATTTGGTGACACCGATTTTGAGTAGGTGTCGGCTGCATTCGTGCGTCTTGGTGACATAAACATAAAGGGAGCCCGAAGATTTTGTCTTGGGGCCGGCCTTGATCATGAACTCAAGTTTGCGATCGATTTGGGGCCCGTTGAATTTCTTCGCTTGCGTTGAAGGTGGTTCGCTTACACTCCGATCCCGTATAGTAGGCCGTGGATCCTGTCTTCCGGTTTCAGAGAGTAGATTTGGAAGGGTGTGAGAAATGTGAAAAGGCGGCCTAGCCTGAGTAATATCGTCAAGGTCGCCAAGGGTATGTTCAAGGCTGTCGGATCTCTCGGGCTGGGGAGATTTTGCCGATTTCAACGACATTGCAGATGTCGACCTATTTCTGGGGCCGCTTTTCTTTGACGGGGTGTCCACCTCAGATTCATCGCGCATATTCGAAGCTGGAGACCAGCTAGGCCCTGCAGATTGATCTCCAGAGATAAAATTGAATGAGGCTCGTCGAAGCAGCTGATCAGGTGTTAACCCGGTCATGGCCGGCGCAAGAGGGGAAGATGCTGTGCTCGGCTGCGCTGCCTTCACGGGCCTGGGCCTGGCCCTATACTTCGAGACCTTGAGAGGTGTAGAGTCTTGCATCGTTGAGGAATTAAGCCGACTGATACGTTGAGAAGCTTTATGCGGTGACCAGACAACATCCGAAGCAATTGATCAGTTTTCAGATAGTTTAGTATGTCCAGGCTCTGTAAGAAAATGCTGTACGAGCCCACACCATTGTATTTCTAGCCTTTTAAAGGTTTAAGTACCAACGGGAGATTGGATGGAACGTTTTCTGATAACAATTTCGGGATGGTCTTTTTCACTTGCAGCATCGAGCTGTAAGCGCCCTTGTTGGTCCCCAATGCTGCGCCCCTCTTAGGTCCTGTCTGAGCATCCTTGCGCTTGCATCGGGAGCTCCCGATTCAGGACCAACGAGGCAGAATTTCGCATCCATGAGAGGCTTTTTTGGGGTCATTTCGACGGATAGAGCAAGAAAGCCGGTGGCTTTGCTGCGGAAAGCGACAGTGTGCGTGGGGTTCTCAAACAGGAGTTCGTGTCGCTACAACCAGACCGCTGGCTGTGCCTTGAAGAGAGGCAAGCCGCCTCCTTAGGCTACCTCGGGATATCATTACCCAGAGGTTTGGGCACCTGGGCCTAAGAGAGACTTCGGGCGTTCAGAAGTCAGGCAGGATGTAATAAGGATCGAAAGTCTTGATACTTACTCATGCTAACAACTGGTAGTGCAGATTTGCCCAGTAATAAGGTAAAGGTGGGCATATGCATACAAGTCCAGAAGTTGCGCGCTGAAATGAGAAGCAGCTTCAGTTACTTCAGAACAAGGAGACTCCCCATTCACGTTTGCTAATTTAATAGAAGCAAGCGAAATCAATCAGGTAATTTGAACACAACCGCGACCGCAGCCCTGCGGGTACGTCATACTCTTGGCGTTGATCGATTTCATATTGACATGAGTAGTCAAGAACCCAAGTCGAAATGTGAGGCATTAGTCAATGACTTTGAATGAAGTTACAAAATGTGCAATAAGAAAGCTGTTACGATAGATCTTTTTCTATTGCACTCGCAGCCTCGACATGAGATCTTTGCGCTTTTGCTTCCATCTGTATAAGGACTGAGAAGCACCAGACTTCTGTACATGATCAATAGCCCTGAAAAAGGTACCTGGTCGATCATACTCGGGTATCAATCCTTCATGTTATGCCTGTTGGTGTCGTGAAGGAATTACAAAGCAAGGATTGAAGGATCAGAAAGTCACAGAAATCCCCATGGACCTATCTTGGCAACATTCAGCCTATCCAAGCTCGACCTATCTCCTCGTGCCGACCGGTAGCTCGTCCCGGAGGATCCATTTTTTGTTCGGCGAGACGGGCACTCAATCAATCAACAATGCGGCACCCGGGCCGGGGCGCAGTGCAGCGACGGCTATCTCGGTCTCGGTTTTTACGACAGCTTAAAGAATCGCTCTGCATAAACTCAACAACAGTGCAACTCTGGGCGCACTTGAGTTAGTCTTGATATACAAACTTTAGAGCTTATATGTGTTGTTATCATGTTTTATGCGGTGCCGAAGATGGCCTCCGATTCTTCACGTGACGCAACGATGGTGAAATCGCTTCTGAGGATGGCGACAGATGGCGAATACATCCGATCAACCCAGTTTCCGTCCAGAACCCCTCTCAACGTGTGATAGATGACAAATGAACATGAACTGACTCGATCGCGACGTTCTTTCGGCTCTGGATTCTTGTCGTGTCTTAAATACTTTTGTACACTGATAAACTGGTTGTCTGCTTTGTCTGATGTATCATCGGATCTAGCCATTTCTTGGATTTAGTTGGCCTAAATTCCGGGACGCACTGATATCATGGGCGGTGAACGGAAAATCAAGTCTGTTGCCATCATTGGCGCGGGCGCTGCAGGTAAATACCTCCCAGGCCACCCATACGCTCGGGATGTATCAATGCAAGCCACCGAGAGAATGTTTACTTGCACCACGAATCGGTGGTAGCTTCTAGTGACCGACACAGTTCTAATATCGCTCAGGTGCTGTAACTGCTGCAGCTTTCAAGGCCGAAGATTACTTCGAAAAGATCCGGGTGTTCGAAAGAAGAGAGTCTGCTGGAGGAACATGGTAATGCTAGGGAATCATTTCGGTTTACAATGTTACATGACTGACTTCGTTACCCAGGATATATGACTCGAGCCCGTCTGAGCTGCCTCCGCTCCAGCCCGGACTTCTCCCGCCCGATATTGATCCCGCATTGGAGATTCCGGGCGAGCTTCCTCAGGTCAAGCCTCACAGCCAGCAAGAACGCTACTCACAGACTCCCATTTACCATTCTTTAACGTAAGCATGCGGTGACCAGATTTATTAATAATTCCGGAGGAAACCTTCTGACGATACCCCAAAGAACCAATGTCCCGGACATTGCAATGTCATTCTCGGATTCTAGGTTCGCCTATGGGCCCTTTGCGCCGCACTGGATTCCACGACAATACATTGAGAATTATTTCTCTTTGCACAAGACTGACTCTATTCTGGTGCTAAGTACGACAGTCGAAGACGTGACAAGGATTCCCGCCAAGGATAGACCAGAGCAGTGGAGGTTGATTCTGCGCAAGTTCGATGCCGCTCGCAACGTCGATATTTGGTGGCAGGAGGTATTCGATGCCGTCGTCTTCGCCAACGGCCATTACTCAGTACCATACGTAAGTACTGAAATTCATGGAATGTCACTTTTACTATTTGAGCTACGAAGCTGATTTGCTCGTAGGTGCCTCACGTCAAGGGCCTGGACGAATACATCGAGAAGTTTCCTGGCCGAGTCGTACATTCCAAAACCTATCGCAGTCCCCAGCCCTACACCGGGAAGAAGATCATCACCATTGGCAACTCCGCATCTGGCCATGACGTGGCGGAGGAGTTGGTACAGACAGTTCGTACCCCGGTTTATCAGTCCCGGCGGTCCAAGTCCCGCTGGGATGGCGAAGAGCCGCCGAATGGTATCGCCTGGAAGCCTATCATCAAGGAATTTCGTATCGACGGACGAGTCATTTTTGAAGACGACTCATATCTCGATGATATCGATCACATCATTTACTGCACGGGCTACAAACCATCGTACCCATTCTGGAATTCGGAAGCCAACGGCGGACGGGCTTTGTACGACTACAAGAACGGAAAGCTGATCAAGACATTTTGGCACACCTTCTTCCAGGACTTCCAGACATTGGGTATCGTTGGTATGCCGAGAGTCTTGACGTTTAGGAGTTTCGAGTACCAGGCCATCGCACTGGCAAGAGTGTTTTCTGGAAGAGAGTCTGTTGCATTGCCACCTGTTGAGGAACAGAAGCGCTGGGAGAGGGAGAGAGAAGAGCTTGTCAAGAAGGAGGGAAGAAAATTCCATGACATTGCCTGGGAAACTGGTGAAACTTTTGAGTGGCTCAACTGGCTGTTCCGCGTCGCTGGTCTTCCGACGCTCAGGGGCAAGGGGCGGACGCCGCCTGTACTTTCAGACGAGCTGATCTGGGCGGTTGAGCACATCAGGAAGTATCCCGAGCCTGACAATCCAGTCAATGATGCCGAGAAACAGCGTGCACAGAATAGAGCGCATTGTTCCGGGATTCACGAGGAAAGTCGCGGACAAGATGCACTAGAACATAAGGGGAAGTGGAAGCTGGCGCAAAGACCCAAGAAAGATCTACTGGAGTTTATTTGATTAGATTTTCTGATAATTGAAGCAAGCCAAGAATGGTAGACATATTTACACGGTAGCCATGGTGCATAGGAATTGCACGAGACGGGATAATGCGGAATAGTCCTTACATTTGATGCGGATTATCGGAGTAGTGCGGGGTGCGCGTTCATTCCCCGGTTGAGGATCGATTCGGCGCCATCTGGCATCTTGATTGACTTAAGCTCGGATGTGACCCCTCAATTGGTTCCGTGGCTCTGCCGAATACGGATGGCGAGTTGTTCCTTGTGAAACGAAGACATATTACTCACTACAGTCACGTTTCCATTCTATGCTTGTTGCACTGCTGCTGCTTGGACACCTACTCTTGATCAACAATTTTTTCCAGCCGAAAAGCAAAAATGGCATCCGAGAACAGCAAGCAACTACGCGCTGAGCTGTTTGGAGCTGGCCTGAAGAATCGACGCGAAGTCGTAGGGGAGACTTACGTCGAGACCGCTATGCGCAATGGCTCAAGCGAATTCGCTTATGCTCAGCAGGAATTAATTACTGAGTGAGAGGAGCAAAATCCGAGGACTTCGAGGTGGTTCTAATCAAATTACAATCATTGTAGGTGGGCCTGGGGAAACATTTGGTCGCGTCCTGGCTTGGAGCGCAAGCAGCGAAGCCTCTTGAGTAAGTCGATTCGAGCGCAGCCGCAAAGCTCCCTGGCGTAGGTACTTTGGACTGACGTTGGCACCAGATATCGGCATGCTCATTGCTTTGAAGAGCTGGGCTGAGTTCGGAATTCACATCCGAGGCGCGATTAGGAACGGGCTGACAGAACTTGAGATCCGCGAGGCGATTCTTCAAGCAACGGTTTACTGTGGCGCACCAGCGGGTGTCCAGGCCATGAAGGTTGCTGACGAAGTCATCAAAGATATGATTGAAAAGGGGGAGCACCAGAGAGAAATGGCGGAGGTCTCGCCGAACTATAAGAAACCTGAGTAAATCACCATTAAAACAGTAACCGACCGTAATCCTAGCCCTGTATATCAAGATGAGTATCGATTTTACTCAATTGTCTATAAGTGGCAGATCGACGAGTTCAATGGGAGTTAAAGACCACAATTCGTCGAGTTCGACCAGCATCGCATCTGCAACGGCAAATTGCTTCTTGACTTCGAGTAGACACTCAGTCACAGCCTGCCGTTGAGAATTTTCTCGGGACCTTGCCCCTGCTACTCTGAGTGGAAAAAGGTGTAGGAGCGGCGATAGAGTAGAGGACCGAAAAGCTTCCCTGGTTGTCTGCAAGATGTCTTCAACATGCTTCGATATCTCATCTCGGCGTAACACTGGTACTGCAACGGTCATCGCTTGCCAGTGACGTATGTCGTAGTCATAGTTTCCAGAGAGATAAATGCTTGTTGCCGAGTAGTAGCTCGTAGCGAGAAGCATTTCATCGTGTTGGACAGATGGAAATGATGCATCGTTCCTCCACCTCTCAAGCGCATCGCGGAGATAAAAGCCCTCTGTGGCTAACTCTAGCGCATCGATAGATAGGACCTCAACTCCAGATAAGCTGGTGTAAGTTCTTATGAACTGGCCAGTACTGAAGCAGCGAAGTAGTAGATCAGCATTCTCTCTTCAACGCACGTCTAACCATGATACGTGATGTGGTAGAACATACCGTGCCCTGAGTCTAGAGCATAACACAATCAGGTTCAGGAGATCATCTAGAGAAACACGACGTTCCGTGTTTGCTTCTTCCGATAAATTGCCTGTCAGCTCCATCCACTCGGGCGCTGCCAGAAAGCTAGACTGGTTGAATATTATACTCCTACAGACTTCAAAGGTTCGAGCCTGTATGAAGAAATTTCGCGTTGGTCCCGAAGTACATGCTGACGGCCCGCTGGCAATGAGTGCCTGAGATGTGCCGAACACCATGTGCTGTAGCCACCTCTGCCCAGAGGTGTCTTGTAGCAGCTGGTGTCAATGTCAGCTCCAGTTTTTATTGATCGCAAGACAACAAGCCAAGGGTACAAGGGTATTCGGTCAGGAGTGTTGAACTTTACGAACCTCGAACAACCCTAAGAAAAAGGTTGACCAGAGAATGCTGTCTTTCCGTGTCAAGGCATGGTCCATTACAGCTCGTCGTAGAGAGGTGATGGATCGCAAATAATGTTCAAGCGCGAAACGCAAGCTATTTTCGCAGTTCAATGCGCCAAGCATATTTGCTTGCATAGCACCTAAGGCCAACATTGCGTCCAACAAATGGTTGAATGGGGCTCGCATTGTTTGGCCAGAAGTCTTGACTAATTGTTGGACATCTGAAAGAAAGGATGGCCCTCGACCGGTGAAGCTGTTCTTGCGAATGAACACATCAAAGTAAAAGAGATAAGTAGCGGTGTTGTCCGAGGGAGGCGGAACAGGACGTTGTGTGATAGGCTTTGTGAAGGACTTGGCTGTGAAGAACTTCCCCTTGGCCAACCGGATTGCAGCTCCGTTGCTCGGAGCCGACGCCGCCGGAAATACACATTCAATGCAGCGTTTCTGGCATTGGGTGCATGGATTTGAGCCGGAACACTTGGATCAGTTAGGACTAAGAGGCCATAATTCGAAGAAAGCCAATTGCTCGTAGTAATAGTAAAGACAAGGGTGGTTTGCCGTACCTTCGAGTGGCTTGCAGCGCACGGCGCGCAGCGAGAGCGTCTCGTGCGACGGTCGAAAGGTCCAAGATGCATCGCTGTCAGACTAGGTTACTTGTGAGAGTCCTGTGCCTTCAGTTTTGCTCAGAGTCTCTGGTTCTTCCTACCTTTTGGCGAGCGTAGTCACCGCGGAGTGTATGTTTGCGAAATGTTTGCGCGAGCTGTGTCAGATGTTGAGATAGTCGAGGAGCTGAGTCTGAGAGGTGGATCAGGACCCCGAAGTCACCAAACCCAAAGCGGAAGCAATTGAGCGACGCTAGCTAAGAATCCCCAGTAAACCAGGGTAGGATGGCCAATTGTATAACAGCCAACGTCTAGGCAGAAAGGAATGGGAAGACGAGGATCACGGCCTCAAATTATCTTCAAAGCTCCGACTCAAGCTATGGGAGGCGCAGCTACTCTCTTATTTTATCTATCCACATCGACCAGCCTAGTTGCACTTATCTGAAATGGGAAGCAACCACGCGAGAGGTTCTTCGTGTGTAATCAAGGGTACGACGAAGGCACAATGGATGAGTATAAGACACAGCTGCTTTCTCGTTCTGTTTCATCTCCTTCAACTCAGTCGGGCACTATCGTCTCTCACACCGGATTAACATCTTATCGAAGCATTTCTACTCCATTCAAACTTGCAACCTTTGACATCATGATCCCGGCGTTGATCATAGGCGCTCTCGCCTCAGCGACTCAGGCGATTCACGTCAACGGCCCAACTGGACCTTACGCGGTTTCCATGTCAGTGGAAGCCCTGACCGACGACAGCAGGCTCGACCCTTACGCCCCGGTCAACAACACGCATGTGCGACGGCTTATGACTTCGACTTTCCTACCCGTCGACAAGGCCAAAAACTCCTGTGAGAGTTTGAAAAGAGTCCCATACATGACGCCCCTCGTGGCCCAGGCCTACGATCAGCTGGGCGTCGCTGTTGGCCTGCCCAACGGAACCTTCTCTTCATTCGAGATGGAATTCTGTCAGCCGAGACCTCGTTCATGCAAGCAGGCCCGCTCCAACTTCCCGTTGGTGCTTTTCTCTCCTGGCTGGGGCAACCCGCGGCTCCTCTACGGGGCTATGGCTCGTGAGGTGGCTAGCCATGGTTTTGCCGTCGTTACCATCGACCATTCTTACGATCCTTCTTTTGTTGAGTTCCCTGATGGAACTGTTTATCAGGCAGTGAACCTCGACACCGACAATACTACGCAGTTGGAAACTCTCACCCAGGTTAGTGGTACCCCTGAGTAATCCCTTGCCGATGTATAAGGTAGCTGATAAAGTCCCAGGTTCGAGCCGACGATGTCTCTTTCGTACTCTCGCATCTTCAAAAAAATCCTATCAATGGCGTCAATCTCAAACGCACCATTATGTTTGGTCACTCCTTGGGAGGTGCGACGGCTGCCGCCGCAATGTTGCAAGATTCCCGCATCCTGGGCGGCATCAACTTGGACGGCAAACTCCTCGACCCCGTACTCAATGCAGGTCTCGATCGTCCCTTTACTCTGGTCGGCCGGCCAGCGCACTCTGCCGACGATCCGACATGGGACGTCTTCTTCGCTGCTCTGAGAGGCCAGAAGGCTCTGCTGACGGTTAACAACACCACGCATGGGGCGTTTACGGACTTCCCCAACCTCATCTCTTCACTGAACCTTACTTTGCCCGAGGCTGCACGCTCTTTGTTGGAGAGCGAGCTTGGGAGTCTGGAGTTTGGCAGGATCGGAAAGGTAATTGCTGGGATTGTCGAGGCTTTCTCTGATTTGGTGTTGCACAAGCGGGTTAAGTCTGTCTTCACTAGGACTGGTGATGCTGCTTTCCCGGAGGTTGTGGGAACTAGCATCAAAGTTTGATCAAGATCAAACTTGATTGGACTTGTTTAAATGCACTAAGACTGGTAAAAGGGCGAAGAGCTGCTTGTGGTCTCTATGGATGCATTGCGAACGAACCGATTGCCCGGAGGCCTAAATAATGAAGGGGAGAACAACATATTTGCCTTTCTATTTGTATTACTAGTAATAATTTGTTGAGAATGTACTTTCACTTGCAATATCAGTGTCCCTCGAATTTGCGATTTACGATATTGGCCGAACGGACGAAGCATAAGTGAATGCCATCACTGTTGCAGGTACGTTCCCATCTTAGCCAATCCAGCATTGTCGCCAACCTCCTCCAAACACCTATTCAGCATGCGATGAAATAGCTCGAGTCCTTCAGTGCTGACGTTCTCCTCGCGAAAGCCTCTCTGAATCGTTTCGAGCCCCTTGATCTGCATCGAAGCCGGGTTCCCAAAGTTCTCTTCCCACGCTTCATCATCCAGAGCTTGGGCGACCTCAGACAGGTGAGACAAAAAGGTCGAAAGCAGAGGCAAGATAATCTTGTCCATCGGTATCTTGGTTGCCGGGGCTTCCCCGCTGCCCCTGTCTGGCCTTTGGCGTTTGAGCAAGTTCAGAGCGACTATACCTCCAGTGAAGGTTCCGTACCAGGCCGCCAGGGCAGCGAGATCCCACAGGCTTGCTGCTCCGGAATCCTCGGAAATATAGTGAACTTGCCCCAGCGGCTCGAGATATCGAGACATCTTCTGGAATTTAGTGTCGTCTTCGCCGCTAAGGAAAAGTGAAGAGTGTTCGGTGCCCATCAGGGCTGGCGTCACCATGATAGCGCCGTCCAAATACGCAGTAATGCCATTCTTCTTGAGGAATGACTTCATTTCGCGTGCTTCCTTGGGAGTTCCTGTTGTAACGTTGATGAGGGAATGCGAGCGTTCCACTTCGCCCAGAGGGAGGGCGGGTAGGAGGAGCTCCATGATGTTGTCGTAGGTTGAGACGCATAAGACAATCACACCGCTATTTTGAATAGCTGCTCGAATCTTTGTCTCGAGAACGGCACCTTCCTTAACGAGCTCGTTGAGAGATGGCCGTTGAGGGTTTCGGTTCCACATGGTAACGGTGAGTCCAGCTTTCAGCCAGACTTTGACCATCGCGGCACCAAGATTGCCGACTCCAATGATGGTGATATCCGTCTTGAGCATTTTGATTATCAATGGGATTGTTGGACTTCTGCAGCTTAGCCTTTGATGACTTAGATTGGGGCAATAAATTGTTTCCAGTTGAAGAAATTTAGCCCACGGGATGAACTTGACTAAAGTTGAGTGCGCGACTTGGGAGCCTTTTAGTATCTTCAAATCTATCGCAATGGCAATGATGAGTTCTTTCGGAAATTTCGTCCGATAAGCTTACAAATTTGCCGTATGGCACCTCATCTTGACTTTGTTGATTCGGAGTCTCTTCCAGTACTGCGGACCTCGCGGGCTCCGTGCATGAAGACCACACCCTCCTTTCATGGAACACTTAGTTTGTATGGGCACATAATCGAGACCAAGATTTGCTCTGGAGATGTTGAGAACAAGGCCTTGAAGCCAGTATTCTTTAATCATGGGGCTCCTCAACAGGCCTCGTACGGCACGAAGATGTGCACAGCAAATCTAAGGACAGGCAGCTCAATTAGATACGAATAATATCAAAACAGCAGTTCGCGTTGGTTAAAGAGCGCCTGAATATGTCGATAATTTGCCAAACTGTGGCATTAGGTCTGGCATCGACGGTGCGGAAGCCGAGGGATGCGCCGACCGACGAGGGTGTAAAGCAGTTCCGAGGTATCGACAGAAAGAGTTGATATACAGAAAGGCGATGGTTGACTGCATGTCCGCTGGCGGAGTCCGCTTGCGGAGTTTGTTGCAAAGTTAGAAATGGCCTTTTCACCTCGTTGTGTGCGGAAAAGAGAAAGGGAGGTTTCGGGATTCGACTTCCGATCAAGTTCCACAATGAAGTGCCACCAGTCTTTTCTCAGAACTTTATCGTGGGAACAGGTGTTGCCAGTACTTCCCATTATTGAAAAAGTCTGTTCACACATGCTCTGTACTCTTCTCCAGTGCCACAAGGCTAAGAATGCAATTGGAAGGTAATGAATGGCTGCATTAGGCATCAAATACTACTAATCTATCTATTATAAAAGCTCCCATCCCAGGATGAATCCATAAGCTCCCATGCTATTCCCCAAGCACTCCATAGAAACACAACGCTTAACCCATGGTTCATGATTCGTAAAACGAGTGGTAGAGGCATTCAAGCCCCATTTGCCAATGCTTTTTGACAAAATTTGCCGAAAACAATCGAATTTAACATTCCATGCAGCAAGTAGAGCAGCTGGACTCTGGCGAGGCAGGCTGCGATTCCCTCTTCTTGGTTTGACGGCACCTCCTTGGGAAGAGGTTGTTCCTTAAACGCTGATGAATCTTCTTGTAGTGCTCTCTCTGTTGTTTCAAATTAGCTTGTGTTCCAATGAAATTCCAAAACAACCGGGTGAACTAACCATATTATCCTTCCGGCTGAAGATGCGATCGCAGTCGGGGTGCATGCACCTCACAGCAGGCTTGTGAGAGCCCATGTGTCGTTGGAAGTCCTTGCGGGTCGCAAAGCCAACGCCCGCTTGCTGGCATCTCTTTTCGGTGCAGAAAAAGTACTTTGCATGGCCCCGGAAGTGCTTCCTGAGATCGCATGCGCGCAGGAAAACCCGCGAGGAGCAGCAGCCCGAGTAGCGGCAGCGCCAGTTGCCGGCTACGTCGAGATAACCCATCTGGTGGAGATCTGCCGGGCCCCAGCTCTCAGGCTGCATCTCCTTTGGAGGCGAACGTGGCGAGCCTGGTCCGCTGCTGGTGCTAGGTGGTGATGCGAAATCCAAGGGCTCACTGGGGATGGGTGAAAAGTCTGAGCGGGGAGAGGATGCGGTGAATGGGGTGTTGATGGTTGCGAAGTCGGTATCCAAGGAGAGTGGGGAAGCGTCGTTCATGAGAGGCATTGATGTTTGGTATGCCGGGAATGAATAAGGATAGAAGAAGTTATCGGTGCCCTCTGATGCGGGGAATGGAATGAACTGAGAGTCGAATGTGTAGACCGGGCTGCTACCCTCGACACTAGGGAAGAAGGTGTAAGATGTCTCCTCGAGATAGGAATCCATGGCGCCTGATACCTGCAGACAAAGAGTTGGTTGTAATTGTTGTTGTTGAAGTAGAAAGGATTCAGATGTGACTGGTTGATATTATCGCAAGGTAAAGTATCCTGTTGTGAGCTTGGAAGATGGAAGAAACGAGCTTGGCGAGAACTGGATCGACGACGACGTTTATGTATCTCACGATCCAAGATTCTCCAGATTCTCAAATCACCAATGCACACCTCATGCAAGTCATATAAACACGGTAGTATAGCTCGATTCGGGATGCAACGTCGGCGGCCCCAAACGCCGGGTGCTGTTTGCGCAGTCTTCCGTCCAAGACGGACGAGAGCGTTAGCGGCCTTACGGCGGTGGAATCATGAGATGGGAAAGTGAGAAGCGTGCAACTTGCAAGGCCCCTAGTCGGCAATTGCGTTAGACTTTGACAACCTCAGCAGATCTTGCCCCAATTTAGGGACAACCGGCCGACTGTTTCAATTGTCAGCCATTTGACATCGGCGTTAGACAGCGTTCCTGAGTGTTCTTGCCAAGGATCTCGTGGCACGAACAGTTGGGGAAATGAGCGGGGGCTGGAGGGAGAGGTGTGCTTCAGCGAGAATGCGATTCGCTAGTCAGCCGTTGTGGAAGACATGTTACAGCGTCAGATCGCCTGGAGATCACGAAGAGCACAGCCGCGTTAACCAGGGGCACACATATAGGCAGTGCGAACCTATATGAAAAGAGTTGTGTTCGTTCCCCCGGGACGGGATGCCACCGTCTTTCATCAGCGCTGACTGAACTTAGTAGAAAGCATTAATCGATATCTGATCCCTAATTTTGTCGACACCTGGCTGGGGGATGCTGTCATGCCGCGTTTATTTGCTGGGGGGTTCAGCCGCTGTTATATCTGGATCTTCTCCGCTCAGACTTCTCAAGTTGATTGCGATTGGCTCTTGCGATTCTGTCAACGTGAACTCTAAAGTCCAGGAAGCGCAGAGTTCCGAGGTGGCTTCTGGGTAGCCAATCGGTATCCAGCAAGTTTTGACAACTCGCTTGTCTCTGGGATAACCCTCTGAAGCTCTCCAGTTTCCGAGATGACAGCTCGATTACAACGCAAGCCTGCCCGCCAAACCGCCAAGTCATAAACACGGTAACCCAACATGACCCCTCTCACCCCCCCTGGTCTCCTCTGACGCTTGAACGTCAATCCTCGTAAGGCTAGACGACAGGCCGTCAACCGTCAATGTCTTTAAACGGATAATAGTGGGGTCCTGTCACGGTTCGTGAAATGCGATTCGCTCATGAGAATCGCCCTCAGCCACCACCACTGCATCAGTCGAGACGTCTGGAGGCACCTCCTCCTCTGCCTACCCGACTGGATCTTCGCCCTTCCTTGTTATGATCGCCGTGGCTCATCAACGTCACTTTCGTCGATGATCTAGGCCCCCCTTCGAAACGGATCATTCTTACCATAAACAATGCAATCACGACAAGGGCGGCTACGGCGTCTGCCCCATCCGCGCCGACTCTCATCCCCATCCAGACCACCTGGTACGATGAGAGTGGCTAGACCGCGAATCATCGGCCATCGTGGAGGCCTCTTCTCTGAAAAAAACCTGATTAGGCTTACCTCAATGTTTTGGAGCCTGCTTTCATGAGAGGCAGTAATTCTGCTTTCTCAGGGACGGGTTCGACGATCATGGTTTCGAACATCATTTTGCAATCTGATTCCCCATTTTCGGTGTTGATTCGGCCGTGTCTCACCTTTGTCTTCTCCGGGCCGTTGTTTCTCTGCGTCTTTGCCAAGGTGCTGCTCATTGCAGCACTTGTATTCCACCCTGGTGATGGCAACAGGTGCCAAGCAAGACGGTCTCGACGGGACCCGTAGTCGACGTGGTTCCAGACGCAGCCGCCTGTCTTGGATGGCTAAGAATATTTCTATCAACGTTGGGTAGAGTCAGCAGTGGTAAAAGTCAATTTCAGATTGAGTCAGTGTTCCACGGCTCGGTGCACTAGTCGATCTCACCTTGACTCGCCATGCAACGACTTTGAAATGAAGAAGACGATCTAGATGTAGATCTCCAGATTGAGTTACGTCGTAAATCAGTGGGCGTTAGCTGTGCAGCGTTTAATCGTGAGTGAACCCGGGGGAACGGCAAAGTTTAAGTCCTTCTCGAGCGTAAATCCACAGCGCCCCTTTTTTCACTATTCAGGGGATACTAGTCTTGTAAGTGACCGGAGCCGGTGGGACGAGATGACTAGAAGAACGATGCGACGTGTCATTCAATGTCAAGGTCCCTGTGTCATTGACGGTTGACGCTAGGAAACCTGCCATTTAATGTCGTGAATGCAACCGGTTGACGGCCGTTTTCGGGTTGTGGACCGAAATTCGCATGTTCATTTGGATGAAATTTAGAGGAGTTCGTCTCAATGAAGAATACCCCCTAAGAATTGACTTCATATGCTCCGTTGATATCTACGAAGAGGCCACCTCTATGTCGGTAAGAACAAGGGGATCGAAACAACAACAACAACGGATGCGGAAAGAAGTTACCGAAAGAGACAGGACGGTGGGCACGTGGAAACGAGAGCTTCGGCCGAATGATAATGCTCTTTAGTGTATTCTTACATGTCAGTTGGACTCTCGTAGCTTGATGCATACTCATTCTTGACTTGTCGTCTGCCACCAATTCTCAGATACGTCGATATTGTAGTTGCGGGACTGCATTGGCCTCGTGTTTCCATCAAGTGGGATTAATAATCTTCAAGCCAAAGCCAACTTTATTTGACAGCAATGAGCAGATGGATCCTCGTCAGGGATGGAACTAATGTTTAACACTCTAACTTACCAAACGAACGCCAGCCAGGTCCCAAGCGGACACCATGTGCCGGTTTCAATCCCGAGAACTCCAGTGGCCAATGACCGTCGCTCTTCGGTTCAGTTAACCACAGGCTCAATGAAAGGGGCTGGTCCGGCCATGTTGGACCTGAGCCAATCATTCTCTGCAACCAAACGACTGCGCGATTGACGGATACTGGGGAGGTCTCAATGACGCCGGTACTGCCGGCACGTTTCGAATAGCGTTCTTTCCGTGGCAGAGTCACCCTTGCTCATGGTGTTGCAAAACACCCCCACTTTCCTCTTCGACAATGGCCTCTGTTTGCACAACTATTCATTCTCCTACCTCACGTAGTTGACGGGGAAATTAACCGTGGAGTATGGATAAAGAAAGAGTGGAAGATAGTTGTAGGAAGAGCATGCTGCATGTGACTTCCGGACTTTGACTCGGCACTGCGGCTAGGTATGTCGGGTCCGCATTATTGTAGATAGGAACTTCGCCTTATCTGAAACGAAGGCGGTACATCAACGGCGCCCAGCAGTCTCTTACTATCTTCGATAAGCTCTTTGAGGTTCTCCTTTCTTAGATCGTGACGCCTGGCCGGATCAAATTCGTTAGAATCGCGGATATGAGCATCACCATCTATAGGCCGAATACATTCTGGTTTAGGTGGGTGTTGTCAACAAAATAGGTCGCATACAGCCAGTTAGAGGGTATAACTCGGTACAGGCTGAATTTATAGATTCGTTGCACTGGATAAAGGAAGCGATCAGGTATTGATTCAACCCTGGTCATTGACATTTGTGTTTCATCCCTTTACAAGAAAAGTTGACTACAGACCGGGAGATCTGTAAACGACAATCATATGTATGTTTCAATTACTGGTACTTGACCCGATAGATGAGGAGCTGCGTACCATAGCAGACAAAAGTGAGAAATGGAAGGATTGGTGGTACTGACCTTAGACCTCACGCCCCTGCCCGGAATCGAATATGCCTGCCCCTCAGTCAACCCGGACTCCGACTCTATCAGGGTATCTACTCTCACTTGACCACTCAATCATTGCGCACACATCTTGAAGTGGCCCGCTGACCTAAACAGACGCCGCTGTGCTGGTGACAGGAACGACGTTAAGGGGACCTAAGTTTACCCCTTGGGAGAGAAGAAGCAGGCCGGTAGCCATCTTTGAACGAAAACGACTTAGCTAATACAGGTAGTCTCTGAGGCTCTAGACTATATGAAATCTCTTACATCCGACTCTCGGTTATTCTGTGATACTGAAAACTACGTCTCTCCTATTTCTCATTGAATACACCTGCAGTCATTTTTTTCATCGATGTGTCTTTCATATAGCTAATTCTATTGAGCTAATCAGCTTGCCTGAGCCCAAAACCTCTTCTGTCAGAGTCATGGGACAGAAAGCCTACTATAAAACCCACAATCACGTTTGTGTCGTCAGAAGATCGATGAGCCACTCCTTTGATTAAAGAATCAGGGCGAGATTATACTTAAATCTCAGGTGACTCGGCAGTCTTAGTTGAGATCACACTACAGACTATTTCAACTGTCTTGGTTGAAGTATTCTGAGAAGACAAGAATACTGTGTTACCGCAGGTGGATACACTGTGCTTCTGTTCTCAGAATAAGGTTTGATGCCTTGACTGCATGAACCGGGTCGCCATCACACCACAAGTTGTTGCCGGGATCCAAGTAGGAGACTGATCATTGGGATTTGGTTCCTCACCGGCGGAAACTTCCGAAATCCCAGGAAAAGGGCAATGACCTACAGGCTGGAGCTTGTTCCCTAGCTCTCGGGATCGGTCCCGGCTCAGCGTTCACCGGAGGCCGCGAGGCGCGACAAATGCGTTGTGGATACCAGCCGAGGCACATCAGATCGCTATAGTATGGCGAGCCTTGTAACTTGCACGCTTTGGAGAATCTGCACTGCATGTTCATTGGCGAGGGATGCCTAAGGTAGACTCATCGTTTTCAAGCACTGTGATGCCAAGACCAGTTTCCTTGACCAGTAAGTTCCAACGGCAAGACCTCTCGGCTTCACCAACGCAGTGCTTACCGTTGACTACTGGATTACTCTTCCAGTCCGCTACATATATGAGCATGCGCAAGGTGAAATGACCATCTATCTCTCCCCTTTCCCTCTCCCCCCTTTCCCTCTCGATAAGTTGTAACCATCCCCTTCTCCAGGTAACGTCGCTACAGAGGCTCTGACCCAAACTTCAGCTATGATGAGTAAGTTTGCTTCAGTTTGAAGACAGCCGCACCCTCATCGCCTCTAATTGTCATTCGATCCATCATCTTACTTGAGCTATGGAGGTACTGATGAGAGCTAGAAACCCTCCCAAGCCCCAACCACCTGGTCGCCATCTGGGCTGGCGTCTTCCCACTATCCGACGCCAATGGACCTCCCCAGCAGTGGATCGACCTTCACTCGAAATCAGTCATCTACAATGATCACGCCTTTCGTGTTCAGCGCAAAGGTCACGCCGGCATAGCGGATCACGTCGGGATGTGGAAGCATGCAAACCCTAACTTCGAGATGCATGTCGAGCTCGTGTGGCCGGAGCTGAAGAAGGATGGCAAATTTTATGTGACCTTTTCCTTCGTCGGGACCGGAAAGTACGCGAACAACTTGACTAGCCATTTCAAGGCTAGCGGAAAGACTTTTCGCTATCAGGGAAGGTTGGATCTCACAATTAATGAGGATGACGGGCTGATTGAGGTTGTGGATGAGTATTATCCCTTTCACTTCGATGCGGGGACCTCGGTTGAGGAGTATCGGAAGCAAGAGGAAGACAACTAATCGAAGCCCTCAAGTACTTACTACTTGTCTCTGGATAGCGAGCCAATGCGTTAACACAGCAAAGTAAACACCTTTTCCTCTTTTGTGCACTACTACTTCTCAGTTCACTTTTCAAGTGAAGCCATGTTTCCCAATACATCTATCACTACATGTACGTTTTCCGACTGTAGCAATAAGTATCACCCACAACAGGTGCCATGCTAGATATGACGGCTTAGGTCGGCAAACATAGAGTCATACATTGGATTCACCTCAACAAGATACTGAGACTTGCGCAATACTGAAGCTAGGATAGCATGGGCCTTTCATACTTATCTGCGAAGTCTCGCTGACGTTATCAGCAAACTTGTCTACTGGCAAAACGGAAAAGTATGACTGTTGGTCTCGAAGCGCTTGGTCCAATGGTCTCACAGGGTACCTTGCGTTTCACTTGGGTAAAGTCGACTGTTGGTCACTGCTATGGTCGGTTTTTTGAAGCCAAGTGCTGAGACATATAATCGTGTTCACGTGGTACTCAATATGGCAAGGAGTGCTTCTTAAGGTGGTTTATCGCACTATCTTCAACCGTAATGATGCTACTTACTGTCAAGGCATATCCGAGGACTTTACTAGAACCTGGATAACCACTGTTTGACCCAAAAGACTTGCTTATCGGCTCTAAGGCGAGTCGCTGGCAGTTGTTCTAGGAAAGGGTACAAGAGAGATGGCTGTATATTGAAGACACCTTGTGGTGCAGTCTGCATTGGCTACCGTTGACTTGTGATCTCATCGACAGCGCGGAAGACTTGTGTACGTTCTGGATCAGTTACGAGCTCCGGAGCTCTGTAATCATCGCGTCTGATTCACCAAATTCGAGTTTTAGAACGGCAGAGGCACATTAGGACCCATTCACGTCTCATTAGAAGTTAGAACAGCGATAGTCTCCATTCTTGAGCAAAATGACGTCGTTCAGCATAAAACCCTTTCACTACCCGCGAGGACCGCGAGGTAGTTCCCTGAAAGCATCCTCCTGATCTCCTATGAAGGTACAGACTTTCCCCCCCTTCCCCACCGGAAGTATCCACCGGCACGCACGCCGGTGGGACTCCCGGAGCACTCACTGGCCCTCCTCCGAGGTCCTACCGTGTCGGTCTGATTCGGCGGATCCGATTCTGACTTCTGAGACCATAACGGCGGGCATTGGGTCGGTGCTGCGTGGTGGAGAAGGGTTGACGTCCCTGGAAATAACCGTTGGGTACGTCATTCTGTGGAGATGAGCGAAAAAAAAAGAAGTGGTTCTTGAAATCCTGCGCTGCATTGACATCTGATTGTGTTGCCCCGCGCTCGGTGAAGGAGGGGTCTTACCGAGACTCACCGAGATATTTGATAGCCTTTCCCCGGCTCTTGGCTTGATGATCGTGGAGGCCATCACTCAGTTGCCAGATAATACAACGACTCCAGATGTTTCGGAGACAAGCCATGCCGACCGAACGCAGTCATCGCATGTCAGCCGCGAACATCTCTTTGTCCAAGTCCATCTCTGGAAAGAATCCGTGACGACTCCATCCGGGACCAGCCGTCACCAGCCGGGGCACGGAATCCACTCCACGATTCAGGTTCCTGAGTAAGCCCGGACAGCCGCAAGACACGCAACTTTATGGCTCATCCCACTATAACACCACCACCTCATCCCGACGGAACACGTCCCGCCTTCTCCTCGCCTTCCATGTCACTGACTAGTATCAGTACAAGTAGTAGTAGACTTCTAAGATCAAGAGTCTCATCCATCCACTTCTTCTCCTTCTCATCTACCTCACGCCCCATCTCACACCTCACCATCAAAACTCATCCCCTCATCCCGTTCCGCTCAACACTCACACCCAAAACCACCCCGCCATCAACTCGCCGCACCTTCACCACCACAAAAACCAACATGTCCGCCCCCTCCCTTGTCGAACAAACCAAAAAGGCAGCCGCCTACCGTGCCGTAGACGAGCACCTGACCCCAGGAGCCCGCTACGTCGGCATTGGCTCCGGCAGCACAGTCGTCTACGTCGTCGACGCCATCGCCGCAAAGGGTCCTGCCTTCTACGGGGAAATGACCTTTTTCCCGACAGGGAGCCAGTCAAAGGGCCTCATCCGCGCCGCGGGTCTGCGGTTGTGCAACCTCGACGATAGGCCGATTGGCCCGGACGGCAAGCTCGTCGCCATTGACGTCGCGTTTGATGGCGCCGATGAGGTGGATGCCGAGTTGAACTGTATCAAGGGCGGCGGCGCGTGTTTGTTCCAGGAAAAGTTGGTTGCTATTGCTGCAAAGAAGTTTGTCGTTGTCGCAGGTGAGTTTTGTTATGGGAAAAGAGCTCTTTTTTGAATGAGGAGTGGGCTAACAGAATAACCCCCAGACTACCGCAAACTCTCCTCGAGACTGCTCACAAACTGGAAAGCCATCCCCATCGAGGTCCTCCCCATGTCCGCCCCCGACGTGCTGGACAGACTCACTGCCCTCGGCGCCGTCAAGCCCGCCGTCCGGCCCGGCGCCCCCGGCAAGGCCGGCGAGGTCGTCACCGACAACGGCATGTGGCTCATTGACGCGCCCTTCCCTCAGCTTCTCCTGTCTTCGGAGGTATCCGACGGCAGCGCCCGCAATGCCAGCGGCGCGTGGGAGGTCTCTGCGCTGGCCAAGGAGCTGCTCATGATTCCCGGTATCGTCGAGATTGGCATCTTCCACGGCCTTAACGGCGTCGAGGCTGCTGCTGCTGGTAAGGCTGGGTTGGCGCAGAAGCCGGTGGCTGCGTACTTTGGTATGGAGGACGGTAGTGTCAAGGTTACGGGGAGCTCATAGGTTGCCCTATGAGTGCCCCGGGAAGGGATGCTCTGGGGTGGAAAGGCGAGGGGCGCATTTGCATTTTATAGCGAGATTGGAATACCTAAAAAAGTTGAACATTGTTTCCCAGAAATAGGTATTTTATCATGTTGCTGATGACTTGGTTGGACTGCACTATGTATGCTGATTTTTGCTTCAGGATTCATATCGATAAAGGGAAAGGAGGCGACTGTACGTGATGAGAGTATTGCTGCAAAAGCATACGGATCATCTGGAAATCCCTCTCATTTTACCTACTCACAGAAGCTCGTCACATCACAGATACAGATACATCAAGTTTACAGGTCAGTCATGATGCTGAAATTGAATACACATTATTATAATCATGATTCTGTGTTGATTAGTAGAGAGAGACACAGCGACCGCGAAAATCAAACAAGGTTCAAGCATCAAGAACCTTCCACCCCCCGACCAAGAGGTTCGTGTAAATCCTCAGCGGGTCATACTTGGCACGAATGGCCTTGAGCTTCGCCAGGTTCGCCACCGGGTAACTCTGAAAGATCTTCTGCCCCTGTCCCGCATCGTTCAGGTACAGATACCCGCCCGCGACGCCCTTGGCCACCAGCCCAGCCTCAATCTCGGCCGTGACGCTGTCGGCAAAGGCCTTTGCCGCGGCGTCGTCCTTGGCGTCCTGCCACGTCAGGTTCTCGACGACCCAAAAGTACGGTGCCTTGGACGGGTCCACGCCCTGGGGGTTGCCGCCCTTGGCGACGCCCTGCTGGATGAACTCCTTGGTGATGGGCTGGAAGGTGATGGAGGCAGAGAGGCCGACGATGCTGGTGAGGTTGGCGCTGGTGGCTGCGAGGAAGGTGTCGTGGACGTAGTCTACTGCGTCGCGGTTGACTACCAGAGACATGACGCGGAATCTCGGGGGAGGGTTAGTGTGGAAGGAAAAGATGACAGTTTGAGGGGACCAAGGAGAACGACTCACTCTTGTCGGAGGCCGGTGGGTTGAAGCGCGTCGACGGCACTCACGTACTCGGCAAGAGGCTGCAGAGCATAGGAATCGGCCACAGGCGTCAGGGCCGGAGACGTAAAGTTCTCAAACGCCGTCGCGGGCGCGGTCTCGGAGTCGTAGAACCGCGCAGCCGCGTACGCGGTGATGTTGTACGAAGGATAGGTGAGGATGGTGGGAATGATGGCTGCTTTGCCGTCCACGGAACCATACTTTCCAAAGTTGTAGACGGCGTCGAGGTACTTGACGCTGTCTGTCTGCGCGTACTGCGAGATGCCGACCCACACCTTGGGAGACACAAATGTCTTGAGATCGAAACGGGTGACAATGGCAAAGGAGTTGCCGCCGCCCTTCAGAGCCCAGAAGAGGTCTGAGTAGGCATTGGTAGCAGTGGCCTCTACAACCACGCCGCTGGAGAGGACAGCCTGATATCGGACGACGTTGTCGGCGGCGAAGCCGTACTGGTTCGAGTAGAAGGATATTCCGCCCCCAAGAAGCAGACCGGGGACGCCAACACCGCCGATGCGGCCTCCGACGACTGCTAGGCCCGAGGGCGCGAGGTAGGAGTAGACGTCTCTCCACCTGTAACCGGCGCCAACAGATACAGTCGACTTGTCATTAGAAAGGGCCAGAGTGGTCAGGTTGGACGTTGACAGCAGGATGCCGGAGGATCCGATGCTATTGTATCCCACGACTGGCATATGGCCACCGCTACGGACGGCGAACTTGGTCAAGCTCAGAGTCAGTGTGGTAACGGCGAAGGACACCTGCTGAGCATTCTGCGGCACAAAGACGCAAGCTGGCGTGTTGTACTCCGTCGCGGACCAGTACTGCGTCTGTGTCTCGTATGTGTAGCCATCGGAACCGGAGTAGAAGGTCTGCTTAGGGTACCGGGAACTGAGCAGCCCGCAGGCGATCTTCTCTGAACCTGGAAGGCTGGCTACAACGGCTGAAGTGGTGGCGGCGCCGGTGATACCCTCAGCCGCAACGGCGAGGGTATCTGCGACAATAGCCAGCAGGCTGACGATGAGGGATGAGGCGCGGACCATGGTTGTTGACCAAGGTAGCTTGGCAGGAGAGTCAGAGAAGCGACGAACCACGACGAAACGCGAAGGGAGGTCTGGATGCAGGAGGAAAGTCAAGCATTCTTCTATCGCGGGATTCCGGGTTTCGAACCCAGTTTCGTAGCGGATGGGAAGTATATTAAAATTGGGAGGAATTCGCCCCCCAGGGGATCCCATGAACCTGCAGAATATCGTTAGCGAAGGATGGATGGGATCATGCAGGTTGGTTGAGGTCTGCCATCGAGTTGCAGTAGTGTCCTCGTTTGACGACTCTCTCATTGGCAGGTTGGTAGCATCCTCGCAGACGCGAGATGAGGGTGCTACCGTTGGTGGCGAGCCCCCCCGTCGATACCCAAATACCCTTGTTCCAACCCCACGTCGTCCGAATCCCGACTTGGGCTAGCATGTCCGTTGACACGAGCGGAAAAGAGCCAAACAGATATTGCCCTGCTTGAATGGCGCAAACCTAACCGGTATACCCGCAGGTTGAGTGACGAGAATCCCCTCCAGCCTTCTGTCAACTCGCATGGGCAGGATGCATCTCGGCCTGGCGCCCCTGATCCAGCAGGTCGGTTCGGGGGCGAACATAAAAGTTAAAAAAGAAGAAAAAAAAAGCAATGTAAATGCGTTCTTTTAATGCCAACCGTGTGGCCACTTTTTATAATGTCCAGCTGCTGTGCCACTGTCGAACTTCTGAGCAAACCAATAATCGATCTCGAGACGCAAATCGACCTCGTCCGGAAGACGAACGACTCGCAATATGGCGACTCCGGTGCTCGGCTACACTGAGATGATGGTAAGCTGCCAAGCGACCCGCCCGTGCCGCCCCGCCCCCGCTTACTCGGAGTCCGGCACGGCCGGGGCAACGTCTCCGTCTGTCGATCTCTGATCCGTGCCTCGGTCGCAACCGTCACATTGGCCATGTTGCTACCCTATGTTTCTCCAGTGGTCGTTGGCTAACACGATCTCTTGTCCGACAGATACTCATCTGGGTCATGTGGGGAGCCGCCTTTGGGATGACAGTCTTTCGAGGCAGCTTCCAATGGATCCTCCAGCGGCGCCTCTTTGCCGACGACTACTTCATCATCGCGGGACTCGTCACTCTGACGGCCTTAACTGCAGTCATCACCTGCATGCTGCCGCAGTTCTACCTCGCCGGCGAGTATACCAAGGCGGCTGCCAAGGATCCTCTGGCACCGTTGCCTCTTGCGCCCGAGGAGTTCATCGGCAGGACGATTGCATCTCTCAAGTTAATGTTCTGTCAGATGCTGCTGTTCTGGACGACACTATGGGCAGGTATGTCTTTCCCTCTTCCGTTGGCGGAAATGGAGACAGTGATGAACTAGGCTGACCGTGCTTGCGTGATTGGTAGCAAAATTCTCCATTCTCTTCTTCGTACGAAGACTCGTCACCGGATTGCCCAAATACATTCGCGCCTGGTGGGTGTGCTTCGGTGCCGTGTTGGTGCTGTACCTAGCTTGCATGTTTTCGAACTTTTTAACATGCACACCGTTGACGAAGTACTGGAGTGCGAGTACGTCTTCCCGGGCCTTGATTCATGGAACGAATGGCTGACGCTGCGGAACCAGCTGGGTGCAGTGCGCCCGAAGACCTGGTACGAGCGGATGCTTCTATCAAGTTCGCGACCAGTGCCGACGTGGCGGCAGATATTCTCAGTAAGTATCGCATTCACAGCTGCAGGCGGTCCATATCACTTACATAATGTGAACAGTCATGATCCTACCTCTCAACCTCCTACGCAAGCTCAGCACCTCCCCATCTCACAAGTTCGGACTAGCCATCCTCTTCTCCCTCGGCGGCATCATCGTAGCCTTTGCCATCGCCCGGCTCGCACAGGTGACAAAAGCCACAGGCGACGCAGCAAAGGACCCAACGACGGTGGCCAACGGGCCGGTGCTCCTGAGCATGTGGAGCCATATTGAGTCGTCCGTCAGCATCATCGTCGCCACGCTACCTGCCTTCCGCTTCCTGCTTAGCAAGAACAGGAATGCGACGAGGAAAACGACTGCAAAGTACGTGGGTCCCACGATTGGGGGCTCGGGTGGCATGTCGCTGCGGTCGAGGAAGTGGCAGAAGGGCGCGGTACGGCTAGAAGGTGAGAGCGACGGCCGTGGCTCTTCGGCGCAGGACAGCGAGACGGAACTGCGGCCGGTGAGGGGGATTCAGAAGGATTTCGAGTACAAGGTTGAGCAGTTGCCTGCAGACTCATCTGCTGGGGAGACGAAGCGAAAGACTCAGGAGCTGTTTGCGTGACGAGTAACTGAGGTGCACTGGAATTCAACCTGAAAGATCAACTCGTGTAATCTGAGGAAAGGACTTGAAAACCTGGGTGAGGTGCAAGAAGAACTGATATGGGCATGCGCGATTAAGTTACATTCGCAACTCCCCTCTTCACTTCGTCGATCCTGTCTTACCTTACCATTGCCGTCGTGCCTGTCTATCTCACTGATACGACCAACCCTTACCTTACACAACGTAGATACAACCGCCAGAGTGAGCATGTCGGTTGTGGTCTCCATATTTACTATACCTGGTACTTCTTGCTTCCGTATCCCAGCTCCCTCCTTGCAGTTGCCCACTGCTTGCTGCTCCACCAGAAGACACGCGTGAGGGCCTTTTCCTCGAGAGTGTGTGTCCCTTGTCTTCCACTCTTCAAGATGTCTCAGCCAACCAGACGAGCGACTATCGGTTTGCTGCCAAAAAATATGCAGCTTGTCCTGGGTAGGTGCATTATCAGGGGGTATTGGTTATTCGGTCCCCAGTCCCCAGTCCCCAGTCTGCATCCAGCACGGAGGATGAGTTATTGAGTTAGCGTCGAATGGATTCACGATCATGGAGCATCAACAGACTTGAAACAGCGATTTATCTATTAATGAGACTTCATTTCGGCAAATTACGTCCGCTACCAACAGAAATCTGACATTATCTTCGTAAGACATAAGAGTTGAGTTGCCCTGGATTAAGCACCCTCGTAGGTAGACCAAGATTCCTCCTTCTACGCCCAAATGCAATCAAAAAGCCATGGCCCGTTTGCCTATTATTAGATTCTATAAGACTTTTCTGCACAGTCGAACATGGTATATAGGGAAAGACAAAACGAAAAGCGAGTTATAGTCGCACAGAAATTCCACAAGCCGAGGACTTGTTGAATCCCACTTCTTTCGCGTGATAGAACGACAGTGATTTCGGCGATCTAGGCGGCACCGGCGAGATTCTTGGTGTTGAGCTTGCTCCACCTTGATCCCAGGGAAATGAGGAACGAGATACCGGCGCCGGCGATGGCCAGGGCAAAAGCAACCTTGAGGCCGTCCATGTAGGCCTGGATGACGCCCGGGACGGCGTCGGCGGGGAAGGCGGTGCGGATCTGGGTTGCGCCGGTGAGGGCGACGAGGTTGGGGTCCACGCTGGGCACGTTCTCGGCGACTTTTTTGAGGATGGTGATGAGGAAGCCTGATTGGGCTGCGGCGACGTAAAAGGCTCCACCGACGGTTTGGAAGACTGTGAGATTTGGTGTTAGTGAGATGAACTTTGCAGAGTAGAAGCAGTAGAAGGAGGTTAAGGGAACTTACAGAGAAGAATGGCGGTGGAGGATGCGAGATCACTCTCGCTGACTGTGCCCTGGACGGCAATGATGGGAACTTGGAAGGCGGCGCCCCATGCGAGACCGGCGAGGACCTGGTATCCGATCCACTTATCGCTCCCGGTGCCGATGTCGAGGGTGTAAAGGAGGCCGGCGCCAACAGTAGCGAGAGCAGCGCCGACAACAAGGATCGGCGTGTACAAGCCCGTGGCGGAGATGGAGATACCCGAGGCAACGGTGGCGATCGTGACGGCGATGATGAGCGGCAGGTTTCGGACGCCGGACTGGGTGGGGGACGCGTTGTCAACGGACTGGAAGTAGATTGGCAGGTAGTACACCAGGACGAAGTAGGCGCCAGCAAAGAAGAAGGCGTAGGCGGAAGAGATGTAGACGGTGCGGTCGCTGATGAGCCGGGGCGCGATCATGGCGCGCTCGCCCTGGTACCACTCGAGGACGATGAAGGCGACGATCATGAGGCCGAAACCGACAAAGAGGCCGATGACGGTGGATGAGTTCCACGGGTGCTGGTGGCCTCCCCACTGCAGGGCAAGCAGGAAGGAGATTGTCGCACCCATGATCAGGGCGGTGCCGATGAGGTCCATCTGGAGGAACTTCTCGAGCATGCTCGCCTTGACGGGGACGGCCTGGGGCGGGGTGTGGAAGTAGAAGAGGATGATGGCGGCGGAGAGACCTCCGATGGGGAGGTTGATGTAGAAGCACCAGCGCCAGCTGACGTGATCGGTAAAGGCTCCGCCGATCAGAGGCCCAATGACGGAGGCAATGCCGTACGAGGCACCGATGATGCCGGTGAAGGTGGGTCGCTTGTCGGGCGGTGCGGAGAAGCCGATGATGGTGTAGGCACCGGAGCCGATACCTGCAGCGCCTACACCGGCGATGGCGCGGCCGACGATGAGGGCGACGGAGTTGGGAGCGACACCGCAAATGAGACTGCCGACCTCGAAAATGAAGATTGACAGCAGGAATGAGGTCTTGAGCGGGAAGTACTTGTATGCCTTACCCCCTGTTTACGATAGTGTTAGTGGTGTTCTTGTTGAAGGCAGTGCGTTCAGGGGGATTTTGATGACTTACATGTTGACTGGAAAGCGGCAACACACATGAAGAAAGCGGCGCCATACCAGGCGACCTGGTCCAGACCGCGGAATTCGTCCGTGATTTTGGGAATGGCGGTTGCGACAATGGTCATATCGAGAGCAACCAAGAAAATGCTAAGAACGAGAGCGACAACGATGAAGGTAAGCCGGATGCCGGTGGGGTATTCGGGCTCTTTGGGCTCCGTTGGCTGTGATGAACCGGCCTCCTCATCGGTTGCGGCGCCGGCTTCCTCCTTCTTCTCTACTGCCTCCTCCTCAAGCATTGATGGTGTAGGGGTGTTTTCCCGATCCGTCTCTCCGGTCTTCTCCCCGACCCTCTCTCGCGGTGTTACTAGGGTACTGGTGGTCGAAGTCATGGCTGCGGTGTTTTCAAGCAAGTAGCTCGAGTACTGTACTGTGGCGATAAAACTAAGAGTTTGATGTGCCTGCTACGGCTTGCGGTTTCTCGAATCCGAGTAAGGCTTGGGACCTAATATGATTAGATCGAGACTGAATGTCTTTAAAGTGCGTGCCACAAAATAGACGAGAGTGCAGGACCGGGGGAGGCCCGGCTCCCTTATGTATCTGATCAGACAACATGAATAGAAGCGATGCTGGTCGGAGTTTGGGAAGCGTTGACGCCGGTAGCCCGTCGCTCGGAGGAAGAGAGACAACCCGCAAGTGTGCCCTTGGTCCACTCCGAAGTGCGGTAGACGTCTGGGCGCGATGACAAGCTGACAAGGGGGGGACTCCTGAACGGAGACATTTGATGTGATGGCTCATTGTGTATGGTGCAAGACTAACATGCTGTGCTATGTCGCGGTAGCATAACGGGCGACGGGTCGTCCCAACATGCTGGTGGTGTGTTCATGTCCGAGAAGGATGCGTTAGGCTGGGACGTTACGGTGGTACGAGTAAAAGACTCGAAGCGTGATGTAAGGGCGTCATTGGTAAGCCCTACTACAAACACTTTAGCACCGAGCCCAAAAAGGAAAATGACCCAAGATGGAAGAACCTTTGCACGACGTTGGCGTTGCTGCTTGGTAACGACAGAACCAACGTCGCCCAATCTCCGCATGCGTGCCGCGCGTGTGGTTGTGATCCGTGGTACATCCCTCTTCTTGCACTTGCCAGTCGAGTATCTCTTTTCAGACTTCACTTGGTTTCGTAGACCTGGAATGTTCCGAAAGTCCGCAACATCCCTTGGGGGCTAGTAGGTATTGGGGGTTTCTTGTTCCTCTGAGGCTCTCTGCCTTGGGCAGATTAGAGACGAAGATAGGCTCTCCGAAGTTGCATCGCTTACGGTACATCAGCCGCCCCCTGTCTCTGCTGATGGGGCTGCATTTACGCAGCGCGCAGTACCGGTTCCGCCGACTCGGTGGAAGTAATGGACATAACGACATATCTGCGGAGTTTGGGTGAGCGTTAGCCTGGCGGAGGAGTCAGAGTCTTCGGTCTAGGTGTCTAGGTACGCAATGTATTGTTCTTTGGGGTCGATCCGAGCCCCTAGAGACGCACTTGAGAACACCTGGTACAAGCCAGTTGGGAATAGCTCGAGTTTCACAGGCATCTCGTTGGACGCTGCAGACGGATAAGGCTGCGCTTGTTGCCCACTGAACGCCGCCACATCATCAAAACCTGCGCCCGTCCCTGCTTCTCGGACCAATGTTTCCCGTGTTGATTTGTAAAGCAACCGTGTCCCTGATGGTTCGCCTGCCGGTGACTCGTCTGGTGATCCAGTATTCGAGAATGTTGAGAAGACGAACAATAGGGACGGAAGAGAAATAAAAGAGAGGAAGAAAGAACAAGGAACGACTGCTCAATAAGCTTGGTCGGACAAGCATTGCCTGTGAGTGCTGAGTGGAGGGGAAGTACGGATGGCGAACAACCTGGTACCTAGTTCTCAATGAATAGGCTCTTGAACGGTACGCCCAATGCAGAATGATTCATCCGCCGTGACTGCTAGGCCGAGATGATGCTCAGTGCTAATTCGAGAATGCCGCTTGCGACACGAATCGCCCAGCGCCCATAGCACACACGATAGCACAGAAGGCCTTCCGTCACGGTTAGATTCTCTACGCGCTAAGGTAGGTTCGGGGCAACTTTGCCGACCTGGGACCATCGACCCATCATCACGTCCTCCGAGACACCGGAGGAAGGGTTTTCTTGTGTCGATACTAACTGAGATTCATGGGAAAGAGGTCTCGGGAGCTGGAGGAACAGAGAAGACTTGAAGCAGACGGTATGTGTAACGCGGGACGGATGTGCCGACCCTCAAGCGAACTGGACCGACAAGTCTGTTGAGGATGATGCCAAGTTGACGCTTGGGGGTGGCTTGGGTGGTTGTAAGGCGGAAGAGGGGCGTCAGCAACAATTGCGTGCCAATGTTGCCGTTGCACATGTCGGAGAGATTGCCGTCTGTCAGATTTACGAGGGCTGCAGGAAAGGACCAATTACCGAATACAAATGAGGTAAGCAGCGATGGCGTACCCAAGTTCCGTTCCGATACGATACGTACCGACACCCAGAAGTCCGGGATGGCGCGATGGACACACGTAGAACCTGGAATGGAAGGAGCAGGTACCGTAAATCTGCTCGGGCACGGACGGATGATGACTTCACAGCAGGGACGGACTACTGATCCAATGAGATTCCCCCACGCCCGCACACACACACATTGACGAGGAAAGCAGCACACACAGCCCGGTACTTTGTCTACACCTGCCACACACCTCTCTACACCGAGCCCTCACCTGGCGGGATGATAAGATAGGCGGAACACCAGCGTTTTGTGCCACCCAAACTACCTTGAGGTAAGGTAGATAACTCCGCTGACCTGGCTCTGGACGTTCCCGTCTGACCAAGCAGGATTTCCAAACCGCGTTGTCGGGAATCTTACGTACTGCTTGATACACAAGCACGCGAGGCAACCCAAGTCATCCGTACCTTACCTCACTGTGTCTTGCCTATGCCTACATTACAGAACTCCACGTTGCGTGCTCCGACCCGACAGGATTTAGGCATCACGGCAAAACACAAGAGACCCTCCCTTCTAGGCTGACGTGGACCGAGCGGGCGACTCGCCTTACTACGCTCGTAATTATATCTTCCGATGCGGTCCGGACCCTTCGGTCGACTGGGCCGCACCGTCCGCTTCCCACCATTCCGTGGTGGACAAACTTCATACCGCGCCGAGGGAATACGACCCAAGGATGGTGGTCACAGAGAAACAAAATGAGTCTATTCGTGTACTGGGCCGCGAGCCTCTGACTTACACGGATACATGGGCCTCACGGGCCTTCCCATCTCCTCCATCTTACAAGAGTCATGATAATCCCAGCTCGTGGTGGATATAGGTAACTTTAAACAGACGACCAACCACACGGAATTGGCAGGGTCTTTACTTGCTTGCTTTGACGTTTGATGAAAATGAAGATGCTCATATCCCAATTTTCCACGTCACAGGCTCTTTGGGAATTGCCAAGATATCTCACCTCATGTAGGTTCTCTCATCCTTATCAGGTATTCCCGCCGCCGCGGGATCCGGACTATTGCCAGCAGATAATTGGTTTGTCTTCAAAATTCAAGTGCGACACCTCACACAAACGGGCGGTTCGAAGTACCCAATGTGTCGATGTCTGACGTGAGATACCTTGTCACCGCTATTGTACCTACTCAATACCCCAGATCCCGGTAATCAAAAATGCCATCTTTGAAAGTTGTCAGATTCCTAATCAGAGAAAACACAGCATTCCGGTCAGACAAAAAGCAGCACTGTTCTGACACTGTGACTTTCATGTCCAGCAGGCAACAGGGGCTGCCCTGCGCAGTGTTTAGTAAGCCAGGAAAAGCAGTGAAGGAGGGCCGGGCCCTTCCTTCCGCAGAATAACACTGTGTATATATGGGTATCAGACACTGTCTTCGACTTTTCCTCCACCTCCTGTCAATCCACCAACCTTCTACAGTGATCTTCCTCAATAACTAACAATCTTGACCATGGCGGAATCGACGCCGCACCCAAAATCCATCCTTCGAGGCCACAAAGCCCAAGTGCACGCTTTAACCTTCGTTCGCGGCAACGATCGTTTAGCCAGCGGAGATGCCGAGGGCTTCGTCGTCCTCTGGGACCTCATCATTATGCGCCCGACGGCCGTGTGGAGGCCACATGAGAACGCAATTCTGGGGATAAAGGGTTGGGGTGACGACCGGATAATAACGTGAGCCTCACTCTATCACTGCATCGCTGATCCTCTCTCACCATCTACACAGCCACGGCCGGGATCACAAGCTTGCTGTCTGGCAGTTAGGCCTCAAGGATGAATCCAATCTCAGCAAGAAGCTACCTCTCGATGAGACACCAGAGCCAAGGCCACAACCTTGGCTTTTGCATATCCTCGACGTCAACACCATGAATTTCTGTTCATTCGCATCATGCGCTCCGCTGCCTGGAGATGCGTCCGAGTCTTCGAGCTTATTGCTGGCAGTGCCAAATACTTTGGCGTCGGAATCGGTCAGTTCACCAACCCCGCCAATTATCTCCGCCTTTAAGCCCGGGCTTGCTGCATGAGACCGGCAACCTAACCCGCGCATCCGTGATAGGTTGACATCTACGAATTACCATCCAAGAAGCGACTTCACACAATTAAGTCAACAGAGAAGAATGGCATGGTCATGGCTCTAGCTCTGCTGTACGTTGATGGATCTGCGTCTACACAGCCCTCCACAAATGGTCGTTTGACCCTCGTCGCCGCATACGAGAATGGGTTAGCAACGGTCGTACAGCTCAACAGTGGGACTTGGAATACTACCTACTTGTCTCAAGTCCACAACCAGCCCATCCTCGCCCTCGACGTCGTCGTGGAGCAAGGCTACTTTCTAACCTCCGGTGCAGATGCAACAATCGCCAAGCACCCTATTCCGGGCCCTAATCTGGGACCTAATTCCGATGTTGAAGGAGGAATCATCCAGCAACCGTTGAAGATTCTGAATACCAAACATTCGGGCCAACAAAGTTTGCGCATTCGGGACGACGGACGCATCTTCTCTACCGCTGGCTGGGATTCCATGATTCGTGTGTATTCCTCCAAGACCCTCAAGGAGGTAGCTGCTCTCGCGTGGCATCAGGTGGGATGTTACGCGATTGCCTTGGCCAGTGTCAGCGCGACAGCTCGGACTGATGAGACCCGAGGCGCGTCCGGCGATCCCAATCAGCTTCCCCACGATCTTATCTCTCGTCCGGGACAACAACAGCTCAGCGTCAAGGACAGGCGCATCCAGCAGGCTCAGAATGCTCACTGGCTGGCAGCTGGGAGCAAAGACGGCAAAATTTCCATGTGGGACATTTTCTGAGGGTCCTTCCTGAAGAGGAATACAAACCCCTCCCTGGTCCGCGTCGCAAATGATCCTCCAGTAAGACCTACTGCGATGGACAACGTCTAGCGCGGAGCCCAAATATGATATCCCTTTCAATGATTATTGGAGGCTTGTGAAAGCTTACGCCAGCTCAGCCGGCTGTTAGGACCCGATCAATTCGGCCCGTGTCCGAGAAATAGCAATTGACGTCCCTCAAACAATGACCGCCTGGTTGATGCACCACTTCCTACCTTCCCCGCGTCTAGGGAGC